CAGGAAATTCAAAAGAGACTTAACTTTTTCTGGTCTGGCCAGCATTGGCTGAGAGCTGCTGTCCTCTATCTTCCTGTTCAAGAGGGGGGACAGGGACTGATCGATATTCGGGCTAGAGTGACAGCTTTCCGACTGCAGGCTGTTCAGCGCCTACTATATCACCAGCATCATGGATGGATGGAACTAGCGTGTGCTATCCTACGCAAGGCTGGACGGATGGGTCTAGATAAGCAGCTATTTACCATAACCTTAAAGAGAACTTCTCTTGGTGGACTTAACCCCTTTTACATCAACTTGTTGGACTTATGGCAATTGTTTTCTGTTTCAAGAGAGTGGTCAAAACCAGGACCGTGGATATTTAACGAATCTCTATTTTTTAATTCTCTTTTTCCTGTCGAGATCCTCAACTCTGAGACCATAAGGTCAAATTTGATTTCTGCTGGAATATCCATGTTTCAGAATCTCAGAAAAGGAAATGGGTGGATTGAAACTGAAGAATTAGCCCAAAAAGTAGGTTTCAGGTCTGTGCGTCTTGTCAACCGACTGCTAGAAGACCTAGAAGCTGCACTTCCGGATTCAATCAAAAAATTTCTTAAAGAGACTTGTGCAGATGATACAGAGCCTTTTGCTTTTCCGGAATTTGACTTTTTGATGGAAAAAGATGATCAAGTGGAAGATCCTGTTAAATTGCTACATTTGAATACTCCAGAAATGGGATTGTTCAATGGGTTGTCAAAAAGAACTTTATATACAGCATGTGTCAAAACAATGAACTAAAGACCTTAAGGATCAAATAGGAAGCAAATGGACTTTAGTGTTGGGGTCAGGCTCTTCCCCGAGTGGTAGTTGGCGGACCCTGTACAAAAAACCCTGTGAAAAGAGAGTGGGAGATTTGCAGTGGAGAATTGTACACAGAGTTTTAGCCACAAACAGACACGATGAAAATAAATGAATCTAACCCAGCATCAGCTACTTAACAAAAGCAACGGCCACGGGGAGGAACAAGACAGAGTTACAATGTGCAGAATTCATTGAATGGCCACTTTCTTCCAAGAAATGGCTTCTAGGAAAACTTAACATTGGAGCATCTGCCCATCCTGTCCAAAAACTAGGCCACTTCACACTGCTCCAGCACAACTGGCATGAAGCGTCATCTGTTCATCTGTTCTCCTCTGCTGTATTCTGTACATCTAAACAAAGGCCCAGACACAAACAACAGAATATACTGGGACAATAGAGCTCCAACACAAAGGGCAAAGTGCACATCACAGAAAACTTCCTCTCCCTCTCTGCTCATTTCCTGTTCTAATAATTAGAGGAAATGCCTTGCCTCTCAGCACTCACAACAGAGCCACAAAAGCACCAGAGAACCAATGGCAGAGAGTTAAATCAGCCTTTACACAAAGAGCTACAGTACAGTACATTCATGCCTTGACTTACCTGAACGTTATCCTCAGACACTTCAATCTCAGCAGTGTAAATATAATCCACCAGCTTCAAGAGCGTCTGTCCATCAACATCCCTGATCTCGACATGGTGAGCCTTGCTTTCACTCATGTCACCTGGACACGTCAATCACGATACAGAAACAGAGAGCATGAGCATGAGCATTACACATACAGATCCAGAAAACTCAATCAAAGATCTAAAAAATAACCATTGAAAATGAGACTTAAATAAGCAAGAATGAACATCATAATGTTTCTTTATGCAGAACAATCAGCAGGGACATTTTATATCACCTAATGTCACTCATATAGCTTCAAATACCTTGTAAAAAAGGGTTAGTTCACCCAAAAATAAAATGATCACCCTCAGTGTTATGCCGCGTTCCAGGCAACCTGTAACTCGTGTTTTTCCAACCTTATACCCGTGAAAGTGCACTGGAACGGCAGTCAAACTCGTGACTTCCCACCCGTGAACTCGTACTAGATCGATGTACTCCCAGTTACGAGTTCTGACGTCACATAGCCCGCGAACCAATGACAGCCCCTACTTATGCAGCGTTTCTGCAGGCGGTACACGGTGAGAATACACTTTAGAACAATATAACGTCAACTAGTTTTCAGTCCATTGAGTGCAACGATAAATATATACCAAATACATTTCCAAATATACAAATAAAGTAAAATAAAGAGTATAACAGCTTATCTTGCCTCATGCGCTATTTTTCCTCCTCAGTTTCCCACAAATAAACAAGGAGTAAGCACCTTTGGCGTTAGAAAATATTACAAACGCGCGTGTGCCCCGTAAGGTCTGCCATGCTGGTTTGTTTACATCTAGGTAGTTTGGCGTGAATGACCTGGAATGCTACAAAGTCGTAAGTCGTGGTTTGAAGTCGTGATTTACGTGTTCAAAAACCTGCCTGGAACGTAGCATTAGTCCAAACCTGTTTGACTTTCTTCTGTGGGGCATAACATAAGTCAATGGGCATCAAAACTTTTGGTTAGCAACATACTTCAAAGCATCTTTTGTGTTTTCCAGTTTTGAAATGACATATGGGTGAGAATTTTTTTTTTCATTCCTAAATCATAATCATAGATCCTACATTGCTAAGACATGTTGGTCCCATGAACGTAAGAAAAGCATTAGGATGTGTATTTGTAGAGTACCTGTGAACATGGCGCAGAAGTAAGGACTGCAGGACGCTAACACTACTCTGTGTGCTGGTACTTCCACTTCACCCGCCACCAGCAAAACGTCACAAAGCATCCTCCTACTGTGATTATAAAGAAAAGAAATCTGAGGATCTAGAGCAGGGCTGTTTCTCCCAAATATATCATAGGCCTAGCCTACATAGTTTGTAGAAACCATAGGGTGTAAGGGTCTTTGCGATCTACAGTACTTATAACATATGCAATCGCTAATTAACTCTTAGTCAGATTAAGCACTTTTCACAATACAAAATGTTTTAAAGCAGTGTTACAGAATATGTTAATCTTTAAAATATTTTAATATCGTCATGCCTCATAGTCACATTTAGCAGATTCGAGCTGGGCGATGATATAGTTTACATTTTGCGACGATGCAATGGAGCAATTGAAATATGCCATTTAGTAAGCATATGAGTGTATACTGTAGGCCAATATGAGGATAAAGTTGGGCATTTGTAGCCTATATCCAACTTTATATAAAAAGCTGGGTGATAATATTGGATAATATAGTTACATTTTGTGACAATAAAAACAACATAAAAAAAGAAAAACTTCAAGACCAAGACCAGACTTCATAACCAAATGTTTGAGTGAGGAACCAAACTTGATGTTAAGAATCTATCCATACACAAATTAAAGGGTTAGTTCACCTAAAAATTAACCATCAAGCCATCCTATGTCTATGTGTATATGACTTTCTTCTTTCAGCCAAAAAATGTTCTGGCTCTTTCGAGCTTCAAAATGGGAGTGAATTTGGGGATTTTGAAGCCCAAATAAGCACATCCATCCTTTATAAAAGTAATTCATACAGCACCAGTGTGTTAATAAGGCCTTCTAAAGCAAAGTGATGAATTTTTGTAAGAAAAATATCCATATTTATGACTTTATAAACTATTATCACTGGCTTCCGGTAACAAGTTTAGTTCCAGCCGAAGAGTTTAGAAGCTGGGATTTTTTTTATTTTTTTTTATATAACTCCAATTGTATTTGGCTGAAAGAAGAAAGTCATATAGGGTGGCTTGAGGGTGAGTAAATGATGGGATCATTTTATTTTTTTGGGTGAACTAACCCTTTAACCTCTGATTGAAATTGTCCTCTTCAATGACTATGGTGGTTAACTTAATAACATGATGTGCTGAGTAGGTTTACCAACCTTCTCAAGTCATTCATAAGACGAAAGGCTTTCCTCATGTGTGTGTGGCTGATGGTGTGCAACCCTGGGTCTTTGGCATCCTCCTGCGAATCCAAACTAGGCAGAGGACAAGGGACTCCATATCTAATAAATGAACCAAAAAATATCTCTTCAACTAATATGTTTATGTTAATTACACTAATGCTCTAACACCATGAAACTCTAAAATAACGGGTCATTTGCTCACAAACTAACTTTTACTTGTTTCGTATGACAGCTTCATTGCACAGTTCTGCACCATTTTGATGATACGGGATAATAAAAGATATTACCAACATCAGTGCATCGAAAATCAAGTGTCCGAGACGATTAGCTCAAGATTAATTTAAATGTCTCGTCAACTGCTGGAACAATAATATTTCACACGTTTACGAATATGTTTAATTCAATTCTCATATATGAAACTTAAAGATTAAGTATCATGTTAAAATGTTCGCTGCTGAATTCGCAGAAGAGATGTTAAGTGAATTCACAACCTAACGCTAGCAATTTAGCTGCTACAAATAGTGGTAACAGCAAAACAAAACGCGCTCTTCAGTTCGTTTCACGGTACAAATAACAACTTTATCGGTTACAAACCTGTTCGGTTTCCTCTTCACCAAGAACATTTCATTAAACGTATCTATTTTTGCCGTTATAACACACTTACCCTTCACAGTCCATATCCGAGCAGTTTCGCGCTAGGCAGTTGGCTAAAGTTAGCTTGCTAACGTTACATTATTTCCGTGCATGTTTTGTAAGTCTCAGGTATTTTTAATTGACGTTAGTGGTAGCTTAAAGGCTCAAGTCGAGTGGTGAATGTCTTCTGTCTGTTTGGTGGTCAGAGCTGCTCCTCATGAGATGGCCGTGGTTGTTTATATGACTCGATTGCAGCTCACAACCAACGCTGAGCTTTGACTTGACACCCGAGGACGTCGTAATGGTCCTCCATCATCAGCGCGTTGCCTGGCAACAATGATACAATCGCTCCACAGTCACTCTTGATGGCACTGCCACACCACTGCACTAACATGCATTTGTGCTTATCGGCTATATAGAAGTTAATCATTCATTCATACACTTAGTTTAAAGCTAGGTAAATGTTTCTCATTGCTCAGCTTATTTCCAATCTATTAAAAAAAATTGCATTCAAACAGACTCAGAGTCAAAAGTTATCCAGTTAATATTTTTTTATTATTTAACTCATATCAGACATTCAATGCCAGGTTGATTCCTGCTCATATGCACATGTACAATGATTCCAACCACTGTTCGCATTTGATTCAACTGCAGTCAAAGGATCAGGTGAAGCCGCCCTCCAGGTACTATCATGGCATCATCTTGGCAACAGGCCTGTAAAGACAACAAGCCCAGACATTTTTAAGTTAAGAGAGCATAACAGATTTAAACAAGAGATAAGGGGGGAAATGCACTACAAAGTAGAAACAGTTTATCCGTTACAGTTAACATCAAGTGCCCTATTATGCTTTTAAGAGGTTACCTTTCATGCAAGAATTCATTACATGTATAGCAATTTCTCTGCGCTTCAAATCGAGGCTGGGACCCCAAAATACATTTTAGTCCAAAAATAACAAAAACTCAGTTCTGTTGTCCGAACGAAATGTATTTTCGATGCTTTAAAACATTCTAGCTAACCCACAGATGTCACATGGACTACTTTGATGATGTCTTTATTTCCTTTCTGGACAAGGACAGTATACCGTACATACATTTTTAACGGAGGGACGGAAAGCTCTCGGACTAAATCTAAAGTATCTTAAACTTGAACAGAGTTCTTACGGGCTTGGAACGACTTGAGGGTGAGTCATTGATGACTACCAACCAATAATGTTCATTTTTGGGTGAACCAACCCTCCTTTAAACTGTGCAGTTGTTGACTACCAAAACAACGCAATACATTTCTAGAAGTACGTTTTGAGCACCAGCAAATCTGGAAAGAATGTCTGTATACAGCGTCATATACTTTGCATTTTAAGCCAAAGACTGACTAGAAAACGAGCATGGATTGCAGCAGTTAAAGGGAAAAATGCAAGAATCCCATTTTTGTCAAACAGTAACCCCTAGAGTTGCTGTAGAGTACTTTTATTTAACATTACTGTCGTAAATACCACTCACGCAGAGCGTGACACATTACATAGTATACAATAGTACAGTGTTTAATTTGACGTTTAATGAGATCTAATATATGTTGTTGGTGAGAATTTTCACGCGATTAAATACATAGATCCGACAATTATCCCCATGAACTTTAATGGTCAAGAGGCAGAACTTTTGCCAAGTGTGTCAGAGGTTCTGGGTTCTTCTAATCCCTACTAGTTGTATAGTTTTTTTTCCTCATCCAAACCGATTGTTTATTAGTGGTTGTATATCAAGCAGGGACACATTTTTTTTTTTTTTGTGCATTAGGTTTTGTGATGTCACCGTAACAAATATAGAGTCTCTCAGTACCCGCAATGGACAACATGTGATGAGTCGAAACAGCCACCATTCAACCCGAAAGAAGTCAAAACCATTTCAACAACTCTGAAGCTATTCAGTGTAGCTAAAAAAAAAAAAAAAAAACATAGAATCCCTTTAAAATACTCCCCATAAACGATATATGCACTCTTTTGGGGGACAAAATCCTATCTTAGGGCTATTTCAAGTTCTCTATGCACTCATTAAAGTTTGATAGGTGAGATACTGTAAAGTTGATTGACAAATTGATATAAAACTGGCACACAGGCATGTAAATAAATACAACATAATTTGCTGTTATTTTATTGTAAATAAGCTGCATGTAGGATAAAACTATGTGACTGATGTTTCTGGGACAGAACGCACAAGCGATTTCAGTCGATTCATGTGCTTGAGTCGACTCCCAATCACTATTTGTGTCATTGTGTAATGTGTGCATCAAGTGCAGAGGAAGCCTCTGGAGCTGAAATGCATTATGGTAATGGCCATTTTGCTTCCAACGCATGTTGTAAGCGGTAGACCAATCACAATAGTCTGGACCATCTGACCAATCAGAGCAGAGAAGACTCTCAGAAAGAAGGGGTTTAGAGACTGAATTCTTTATGGAATTGTTTCAGACACTGTGAGAAACGAGGTGACGCTGCAGTATACATCATGAGGAAAAAATTGAAGTTTTGTGCTTTTTTTTCAGCAAAACAAAATTGGGAAACTTTAAAACTGTATATTAGGGACACTTAAAGAAAAAAAAAATCTTACTGAAAAGCCCCACAAAAATATCACAGAGTGATTTGACAAATCACAGAAAATTTAAAGTAGTATGTAATCTGAATACATTTTGAAGTTTGATCTCAAAAGCAAAATCACTGAAACAATGCAGTTTTTTATCAAATCTTACCAAAGGCATCTTTCCTCGACATAGGCATCTTCCACATGAATCTAGCATATGCGTTCATATGCAAACTCTGCTAGACTAAAAAGAAGAGGAGGGAAAAGGAATTGTAAACATAATTGGTATGACCATGTGTGAGATTTTATATACACATACATACACACACACACACATATATATAGATAGATTAATTTAAAACTTGCTCACCAAACTGACTGGAGTTCTTCCATTTTTCGAAACAACTGGATTCACAGCCACGGAAGAGGTTCATCAAGCGGCCACACTTGGAAGTGAGATTTTATTTAAATCCTTCCATTGCATACCCTCTGTGGGAAAAAAAGACAGATGCAGATGCATGTAAGCGTCAAGTCAACAAACAGTGTCATGAAACATTTCTGTCTACTGTCAATCTATTACACAACCCCATCAGATTTACACGTATTGTCTTTAAGGAGTGTCTATGAAGGAGCTGTGCTTTAAGAATGAGAGTAGCAGATCTCACTTGTTAAAGCCAATGTCAAGTTGTTTTACTGTTGAATCGTCACTAGTCTCACTGAATTATCAATAATATCCACTGTCCTCTTTAAGAGTCCCAGAAATGTAGGACAAAACACGAGCAAAACACCGAGATGAGGAGGGGAGGGGGATTGATAAGATGTAAAGTAAATAACTGAAAGCACAAACCTTGCTTAATAAATGCTGATCTCCTTTGCATTTGATGTCATTAATATCTGGAACTAATGCATCAAGTAAACAGGAACTATAAGCTCCATTCTCCGGTTTGACCTTAAACTGGAAATCGGCTAAAATATTGGATTAACACATAACTACATAGACCACAATCACCACAGCGTCACACACATTTAACTACAGAGTATGTTCTAATTGCCACTTTTTCTCTGTTACATGATCACCGCAAGTTAATGCTATTCACAGCTAGCATTTAGGAAATGCTGAAATTGTGCATGCACGCTTTACTTTAACGACTCACAAATACCTGATTTTCTTCCAGGTGGATTCGAAGTATGTTAAAGACACACCTGATGTAATGTCTTGTGTATAAAGTATTTCTACAAACCTGGAAACCTGGTGCGATTATCCTATGGATTTTCAGCTGGGTTTCTACATCTCTGGAGTACCCCTGGAGAATCCAATGACGTAGTAGTGGACACAGCTAAGGTATAGATCCATCTTATTTGATCACTAAAAGTATTGGAACAAAGCTCTAAACATATTTTAAGAATAAAGACAACATAAGGTTGGGAAAATATTAACATCCCCACATGTCTGATGCAAAGAAATGTAATGTTGAGCACTAGAGCCAATAGGTGCACCTCCAATTTTAGTCTTACCTAGTTGGAAAGACAAATCACTAAACGGGCCTCGTACGTCAAAACCACCCAATAAATCTCAGCTCGTCAAGAACCATAATGGCTACGGAGTAATGGTTTTTATTAACAGAAGTACATACAGTTCAGTTGTATCTGAAATAAACAATATTCAATAGGTTATTCCGTTGAAGCAGTAATACAATGAGACAAGAACATTAAAGTCCTTTACTAAATGATTAAACTGTAGAAAAACAACTCAAATCTGTCTTCAGAGTCCCATCAGAAAGGTTCACTGTAACACCAATGACAACATTTTCAGTTTGCTTTAACTATTTAACAAAAGACACTAATTGGGAGAGACACGTTAGTCACTATAATAACGAATATTGAGGAGTTTAAGTTAGCCTGAACATTTGAAACTAGTCCATTTAACAGTTTTGTCTGAAACGCCACAGAAGTCTGTTTATTCCGAAACGTTTCTTATGTTAGGACGAACAACTTCTAGTTGCCATCGAGCCTAATTAAATAAAGTTAAATCTTTAATTGGTTGGCAACAGACTCCACAGCGAGTCCTTTATGAACCTCCACTTTTTCAGTGGCCATATTTCCAGAAATATTTCCCCCCATTTATAAGAAGTCCTCATTTAAATGTTTTTAACCATAAACCAAATCAACCACCAAGGTAAATCATATTATTGCAAACTTTGAAGTAAAAAAGTATTTGAAAATCAGACAAAAAAGGTACAAAAACAAGGTAACTGCTATGAGTAGAAAAACTACTAAAAATAAATAGCTAAAAAATATTGATTTAATGTCGTGTAATATTTTTTTTACATTATATTTAAGTAGTTTGAGAACGATTATTAAGTCATTTGCTATACCTCATGGGAGTAGGCGGTGCTAGTGTTTTTACAAGCACGTTTCAATTCTTTGGCTGTGGAGGGGTTTATTTTTCTTTTACAGAATCATAGTTATTGTCGTTTGTCACTAGAAATTAATTTTTTAAGCATTTTACGTCGAGTTGCACTCACATGATGTGCAGATAGTACCCGTTGCCAACCAATTAAATCTTTAATCTCAACAGGGGTTCACTGCGATTGACTAAATTTAAACCAGATTTATATAAGTCTAGAATAGAAGAAAACAGACACAATAAAGATACAATACATATGCTAAAAGGAGAAAAACATGCCAACACTAACAAGCAAAAATACTAATTTTAACTTAATCCCAATGCACCAAAAAAACAAAAACGCATGGGAAACAGTTTCGCAAACAGGTATAGCCTGCCACCTTATAGCCAGCCAGTCTTATAATAAGTAGAGATCCAGAGTAGTAGTCCTATGTCTTGCTGAAAAAAAAAACTCCCTATTAATTCAGGGAAGAGAGCAAAAGGATGTGTAGTAGTAGTAGTAACAGCTGTAAGATGTTGAGCAAAGTCGGATAGGTGAGCCCTACCTATGATTTGCTAGGCTGGATAAGTTGTGACCTCCTGAATGGAGCTTGGGTGATTCAGTCAATGCCACGCCATATTAAGGTGGCTAACTCTGGCTACTTAGCTGAAGATAATGTGTGGTCAAAACTGTGATGTGGGCTGGGGAAGGAGCTGCTCTTAATACGAGACCTAATCAACGCTCCTAATACGAGCCTCCGTAACCCCCCCTGCCGTAACCACCACCACCACCACCTCGGGAGTAAGGAGCGTTGCTTCTGCCCGAGTAATTACCTTTCATTGGGCCATAGCCAGAGGACTGCTGACCATAGCCGCTGCCAAAGTCACTGTAGCCGTTACCACCGCCGTAGCTCTCCATTTGGTCCCCGTAGCCTCCCCCATACCCGCCACCGTATCCGCCTCCATAGCCGTCGTTGCCCCCGTAGCCGCCGCCGCCGTAGTTGCCGTATCCTCCGCCGCGCCCGCCGTAGCCGTTCTGCGGTCTGCCCATCCCCCGTCCACCTCCTCGGCCTCCGCGGCCACCGCGACTACCAGCAGCCTGCATCTCCTGCTTGGTCAGGGCTTTCTTCACTTCCACTTTATGCCCGTTAATCATGTGATACTTGAGCACCACGGCTTTATCAGCCGAGTCGTTATCTTCGAAATACACAAAGCCGAAGCCGCGCTTCTTGCCGGTCTCTTTGTCTGTGATCACCTCCGCCTTCTCCACCGCGCCGAACTGGGAGAAGCAGTCACGGAGGTGATCCTCCTCGATGTCGTCTTTAAGACCACCGATGAATATCTTCTTCACTTTCGCGAGAGCCTCGGGCTTGCCCGCATCTTCTCGCGCAACGGCCCTCTTAAGCTCAACGTTGTTGCCGTCCAGAACATGAGGTCGGGCCGACATGGCCGCGTCTGCCTCCTCCGGGCTCGAGTAGGTCACGAAACCGAAGCAACGCGAGCGCTTCAGCTGCTGGTTCTGCACCACCACGCAGTCCGTGAGCTTCCCGTACTGCTCAAAATGTTCTCGCAGCCCATCGTCGGTGGTTTGGACGTTGAGCCCGCCGACAAAGAGCTTGCAAAGTTGATTTTCCATTTGAGCCGTCATCTTCGTAATCTTATCTCTTCTGAGTTGATGTAAAATGGCGGTGAGATATAAATGGCGGCGGTGCGGGCGGAAGACGTCACTTAAACGTAACCACGCCCATCGTAGAATGAGATCACTTGGTTTGAGTTTTTTGGTTCACTAGCATTATCGTGAGTGTTTCGTTAAAATATTTTGTAAGAAAAATATTCTGATTAGCTTCAATTTGCAATGACGGAAATCTTTTCATGTAAAGATAAGAACGTATTGTTGATTCAAAAAGGACCCAATGCGCATGCGCAGTGAAGACAACAACAGCCCACTACAGCAAAACAATGGCGACTGCCGTGGAGAATATCGTTAAAGTGTGAGTACATGTAGTTTTTAAACTCTTTGAATGAATCACCACATGATATTCTTAAATTACTGGTGAATTTGGATGGTTTTATATACTAAAGTAAGGCTGAAGTATTGTGGTGGTGTTTGGTTACCTAATCTGTTCCTCGTTCATTCATCGTTTAACGTGACTGTGACATCAAAGAGCATTACAGCCATGTGTCTACTTTTTATATCAGTTACACTAGCCAGTCACTGGTTCGTTTGCTCTTTTGCGTTCTGTTGTCCAACTTTTTAAGTAATGTCTATCAAATTGACGTTGCTTTTTTTAACACTGGCAAAAATGAATACATTACATTGTGGTCCATTGTTTGCATATCAGCACGTTGTGGCGCACGAAATTTAAAAATACTCTCCCTCTTACGAAAATGAACCATTGTTTTATTATAGTAAAAGTGTACTAACCATGTTTTTTTTTTTTTTTTTTGGCGGATTGATTACCACAGTATTACCACAGACAGTTTTACTACAAATACCATGGTTAAACTATAGTTAGTGTAGCAAAAGCATGGTTATTTTTTGTAAGGGCCGTTACTATTTATCATCCAAGACTAAGATTTAACTAATGAAAAGTGAATCTGTGCATGTAGAAAGTAAATATAAATTATATGCTGTGTAGAAACTTATATGCTGGTATTCTCTCTTGTTTGTGTGTGGAATGAAGACTTGGAGAACAGTACTACAAAGATGCTTTGGAGCAGTGTCATAGTTATAACGCCCGTCTGTGTGCCGAGAGGAGCATCCTCATGCCCTTCCTGGACTCCCAAACTGGAGTCGCTCAAAGCAACTGCTACATTTGGATGGAGAAGAGACACAGGAGCGCAGGTTTGGCATCAGCCCATTTACGCTGATTCTATTCTCAGTCTGTGCTACAGTTACTGACATGCAGACTTTATGATTACTATTTAAGGTACAGCACCAGGACAGCTGTACACATATCCCGCCCGGCGCTGGAGGAAGAAAAGAAGAGCTCACCCACCAGAAGACCCTGCTCTAGTTTTTCCTCCACTCAAATCTGGTATTCTGTTACATTAGTAGTAGATTTCTTGTTGCCTGTAGTAGAAAACCTGTTGTGCACTATCTTCTACATGTCATCTGAATGATAGTTTATATTTCTTTAGCAAGTAAAATAGTTTTTAGTAGAATTGCAAAAATGCCCCCCTCCAGGTCGTGGTACATGTCTTTTTACTGTGAAATCTATTCTGTTTTTTATAAAGTAAATGTGAGAATAACTCTGTTGTTAGTAAAATTTCAAGGGAAGCATTTATATGCTGAAGCAGCTGAGGTTAACTTGATAAACCACACATAATTTTTAGAACAATCATATTAGGATATGAGTATCAGTATTAATATCAATATATGAGTATAGTAGAATTGCAAAACTGCAGAGCTTTGATTTAAATATCATCTTTCTAAGACATATTATTGGGAGATATAGTGAGACAACTGATTATAAAAATCTCATTGATTTACATTACAAACTATCAGAATTTCATCTTACTTTTGACCATATAAATGACAACAACTGCAGCAAATTTCATATTTGTGACAGTTTGGGTCTCTGAATAAAAATGGTGGTATTTTTTTCTCCTTGAGTATGGGCTTCATATTCTCCCATGTCATATGAGCCATAAAAGGCTTATGTATCAAATACCATACTCAAAAGAAACACATACACAATGCTGCTGCTTTTTTTTTTTTGATTTTGTCTATAGTTTCAATAAATGATTAAAAAAAAAAGTAGAATTGTAATACTCGTGACCGGCCTTGATCTTGTCTCGACCTCGACCGCATTTGTATTTGGTCTTGTCTCGGCCTGAAGATGTTATCCCAAATTTTATCTCAGAGGACTCAGGATTTTATCCCAAAATGAATACAAATGACCTGTTTGTTTGAGATTTTTATATTATTAACATAGGATATAATTACGCAATATCACTAGAGCAAGAAATATTAATATGAGTATGATTGCAAATGTCATATTGATTTCATATAAATGTTAAGAGTGTTATAGAGCGACATCAATTTTAGACTTTAATCAGCTGCTTTAAACAAATAGGTTGAATAAATGGTTCCGTGACTCACTTAAAAGTAGACCTATCATTTTATTTTTCCATCATACTTCTATATTCAAAATATTATTTTTAAAACATTATTCTCATCATTATTTAAGCAGATGTAATTGTACCAATTCAGATGGAACCTCTGTGTCACCTCTGCAACACAAAGATGAATGTTATGTCTTAGTCATTTAACTGGTAACAGCTTGTCTAATTCTAATTGTATTTATTGATTAAATATAAGACATTTTAATGTGTGCTGGTCTTGACTTGGTCTTTGTTAAGGTGGTCTTGACTACAACAGCAAAAAATGATTATTTCATTGGTCAAGCTTTACATGGTTATAAAGTTTAGACAAAATAGTTTTAGATATTTAAGGCAGAAAAAAATATTTAAAATTAGATTATAAATCATAACTAAATGATTAAAGAGAAGCATGTTTCCAAAGCTGAGCTGGAGCTGGGCCTGAAAAAAGATGTGTTGGGCCCGTTGGATGGGAGCAGCCTGGAGGCCTTGCTGAAAGGAGAGCCGCTGGATAAAAGAGTGCCCACAGAGCTCAGACCACCTGAGGAAGAAACCAGTCTGTCTGAGATCACTGGAACCAGCACGGCCAGCAGCCACAGTGGCTCCACACGCATCAGGAAGGTATATAGTAGGGCTTTTGGATATGGTCTCTAATGTCTCTGGGCTTTTCATATATGAATGTATGGCCTGATTGTTTCCTGTCGTTCTCAGAGGATCCTTGAGCCCGAAGAATACTTGGATGACCTGGACGATGAAGATTTTGAGGAGGAAACTCCTAAAAGACGAGGAAAAGGGAAGTCTAAGGTACCGTGCCTGGTCTGCTGTTGGTTAATAAATTGAATATTTATACAGTACTAACCATTGATAATCCACTCTTGTGATGGTGGCTACTGGTCATACGATGGCCTGAAGGAATGGAGTTAATAAAATATAATTTTAATCTCCCAGGGTCGAGGAGTTGGGAATGGAAAAAAGAAAATGGAAGCTGCTGCAGCTGCCCAGGAAGAACGAGACAAACCGTATGCTTGTGACAGTGAGTTTTGACATGTTATTTTGGATACATATATCTCAAAGGTTTGGGCTTAGTACGATTGAATTATCTTTAATTTTGAGAATTATATGACACTGAAGGAATGGCTGTTGAAAGTTCATGTTTTAGCATCACAGGAATGCTTTTTTCACTTTTTTTTTTTAAATCATATAAATACAGCCGTGGTAAGCATAAGACATCTCTTTCAAAAATATAAAAGGATTTTACTGATCCCAAACTTTTGAATAGTTGTCTATGCAAATATGTGTTTGGCAAACCTTGCGTACTGCTGTTGTTCATGAAGTTGCTGAAACTGAATTCTGAGTGGTTCATGTCTGCAGCTTAGCTCCCATCAATCGGTTTGGTTAGTACATAGTAAATTGAGAGCATTTATGCTAAAAGATCAATGAAAATCCTGTTTTCCATAACGCTTTTTACACGACTTTTCTTTTTAATAGTCTGTGGGAAACGCTATAAGAACAGACCAGGCTTGAGTTACCACTACACTCACTCTCACCTGGCTGATGAGGAGGGAGAAGACAAAGAAGAACCTGAGATTCACACCCCTGCACCACCAGAGGAACCCAAGAGTGAGCGTTCATCCATGATGCCTGTCATTAAACATCACTTGTGCATTACCACTTTAAAGGACTTAAACAAGTACAAGATGTTTCTTTGAGGACACCATTTATAGTTGTGATTGTTAGATCCTTGTGACTTAAAGGGATAGTTCACTTTGAAATTAATTTTTGATATGTTTTAGCTTACCTCAAGGGCATCCAAGATGTAGGTGTCTTTGTTTCCACAGTATTTTCAATTTTGACATTTTTCAGTCAAACCGTTGTTGTCTATCAGTCATACACTGGAGGCTAAGGGGGTTCACCAAAAAGCATGCACAGAGAAGTCAAAATTAAACATGATTTAATGACTTGTAAATGTAAGTACACATTGATGGCCTAAGGCACGAAACGAGCGTTTTTTGTGAGAAAACGAACAGTATTTATATCGTTTTACCTCTTGTAATCATAGCCATGACAAATGATCTGACGGCACGGGCGCTTCGGTCTGCGCATGCGCTGGAAGTGATCGCTTGTGCGCCTACGTCACTCTTTGTTTATACAGAGATTTCGGAAGTTTTATCTTTCACTAAACATATTTAGATATACGGGAAACCGCAATGGAAGATGATTTCGGTATATCTAAATATGTTTAGTAAAAGGTAAAACTTCCGAAATCTCTGTGTAAATATTGAGTGACGTCACACGCAAGCGATCACTTCGGTGTAACATTGAACTGATTCAGTTCGGTTCAGTTGGACATTGCACAACTGATTCAGATCACTTGGACGTCACTGTGATTACACGAGGTAAAAACGATATAAATACGGTTCGATTTCTCACACAGACCGCTCGTTTCGTGTCTTAGGCCATCAATGTGTACTTACATTTACGAGTCATTAAATCATGTTTAATTTTGACTTCTCTGTGCATGCTGTTTGGTGGACCCCCTTAGCCTCCAGTGTATGACTGATAGACAACAACGGTTTGACTGGAAAATGTTAAAATTGAAAATATTGTGGAAACAAAGACACCTACATCTTGGATGCCCTTGAGGTAAGCTAAAACATATCAAAAATTAATTTCAAAGTGAACTGTCCCTTTAAGACTTACAAATATTTGCCACTTTTTTTCGACCACATAGATTGCAGCTTTGATTTGGATAGTCCTGCTAGTCAGAACATTAACAAATGCAGGACAGCAGTTGATCTGATGCTCTGTTTTATTACAGCCCCTAAAAAAGGACCAAATGGCCTGGCATTACCCAATGACTATTGCGACTTCTGCCTTGGTGACTCCAACATGAACCAGAAAACGGGCCAGTCTGAAGAGCTGGTGTCCTGCTCTGACTGTGGACGTTCAGGTATGACACCTAGGCATAGAGCGAACTCTAAACTTCTACGCTCAGTTGCATTCATTCATGGCCTTTTTCTCTTATCCCTCATAAGGACATCCTTCGTGCCTGCAGTTCACTGCTGTGATGATGGCAGCTGTAAAGACTTACCGCTGGCAGTGCATTGAGTGCAAGTGCTGCAATGTTTGTGGCACATCTGAGAATGACGTGAGTCTCCGCACATTATCACTCAAACAAACCCCTTATACAGAAAACCATCTGTTAATGTGTTTAAATCCTCTTTCCCAGGACCAGCTTTTGTTCTGTGATGACTGTGACAGAGGATACCACATGTACTGCCTCAGCCCTCCCATGTCAGACCCTCCAGAAGGTACTAGCAATCATTTGCATGTGCACCAATTATTAAAAAAAAAAACTTACAATAATTGGAGTAAGGACTTAATCGTAGTAAGATGTGTATATGATACAAGCACACTCCGTTTCCATGCAAATTTCATTATTCCCCTCGTTGACTCATCATCCTGCAAGTAGGGCTGGAACAGCATGTTGACGTAATCGATTACATTGATTACGCACTTTTTATGTTCATCACAAATCTCCTGTCACACAAAACATAACTCCACAGTAGATGCTAATGGCTAGTATGTAGGCTAGTATTACAATGTAAATGTAATCCTTGAAATGCAATGTAAGTCGCTTTGGATAAAAGCGTCTGCCAAATGCATAAATGTAAATGTAGTATGACAGTGTCACTTAATAGGGTTGCGTTCATACCGCGTTTTGTTTTTTACGAGCGTCACATCCCCATTCTACAACCCAACTGACACCTGCACATTTTCAGGACTCACAACTGCATTCTCGACAAACCCGCGCTGAATGAACAAACTCGCACTGGACAATTGGTCGTTTGCCACATAATATAATATGAGAGCTTTGATGGGTTTAGTTTACTCACAGAGATGGAGAAATGATTTGCGTTCATCTGCAGATCCACCAGAGCTTGCGTGATAAAACTTGTCGATGTTATGGACATTGCCATGTTTTATACTGTCAGTGAATGTGAGAGTCCTGAAAATGTGCAGGCTCGTATTAAGCGGCGCTGTCATACTAGCCATTAGCATCACATTTTTTTGTGTGAAATATGACGGGATTAGGGTTAAACACAAAGTGCATAATCCATTACACCGAAACGTCGTTCAAGGCCTACTTCGCTGTGTATGTGCCTACAGACAGAAAAGCATGTTAAGTTAAACATCATGCGTGTTACTCATTTAGCTTCCACGCTTGCACAAACACTCGGATATGTTACCAGTAATATTATATAGGTTAACATTATTGTTTGAGGTAAAGTGGCTAACGTTAGGCTACTAACATGTTTGAATTGATAAGCCATGTTTGAGTTTGATGAATGATAGGTGAACGCTTGCCTATTGAGTTTGCATGTCACCTTTTTGGGGTCATCCTTTACCCTCTCAAAATTATCCCACAAATGGACCAACATGTTAACGATCTTTCCGTCATGGAGTCCATGACTTTTCCACTTTTCTTTAACCAACCAACTCTTCTCATCGAGTGGTGTTTAGTTGACTTTTGGTTGTGCTCTGAAATCCACAAAGTCCCAGTAAAACATTTGAAATAATAACAGTATGCACGTTTTTTTTTTCAGGAATTCTAGATTGAAGTTTGTATAATTATAGTTTAAGAACTTATAAAATGTGGCATGAGAGTGCAGAAGCAGAAATAAATATTTTGCTTGTCATACTAATGACTTGCGTGATTTAGTCCAAGTCTTGTGATGCAGTACAATAGCATTGTGTGAAGAAAAGGCTAAAAAAATAAAGATAGTCAAACTAGTCTTGTGAAGACAAGTCTTTGACACCAAAACGGCAAGGTTATACGAGTGTATGCATTTATTGCTTTTTTAGTAAAAAAATACTGTTGATTTAACTTAAAAAATTAAGTAACCTGGTTGCCTAAAAAAATTAAGTTAATTGAAATGGAAAAATTGAGTTAATACAATGAAGGAGACTGATTTAATCATATTATGTTATTATATACAAAATTATATACAAAAAATATATTGTATACAAAATATTATGTTATCTGAACCACATAAATTAAGTTGATTTGACAAAATAAAAAAAAGTTGATTTGATTACAAATCATGAACAGTGTTTTTTTTTTTACAGTTATAGTTATGCATTGCAGCTGATCATGTTATCATGTTTACAGGAAGCTGGAGTTGTCACCTGTGTCTGGCTCTTCTGAAGGACAAGGCCTCCATTTATCAGAGCCAGAGCACCGCAATGGAGTGACGGAGGAACCGCGACAACAGTCTACCTTTGAAGTACACGCAGAAACACACTTAAACTGTTGTGAAACTTTCCAGAGTGATGGAGAGGCTGGAAGAGAAATCATTGCCCCTAACATAGCCATTGTTTTTGGTTTTTATTTTGCTATGACTGTTACTCACATCATGAGCAGTGTTTGAAATGACTGAGGGCGCATTTGAATAGATTATATACACTTCATGCATTATGTGCAGTTTTTCCACAATCCTCCATGTTGGGGCCAATGGTTGAGATGATTAAGCACCTGTTTATGCATTGCCAAATATTTCTTTTCTTTATTGCTCATTCAAGATACATTTGTTTACATAGAGCAAACATATGGCTTAATCCTTTTAAGGATGTTATGGATTTAAATATTCATTTGTATGAGTAGTGGATCTCTGTTTATCTTTGTCGTATATAATTATTTTCTTGCAAGTTATTCTTTCAGGAAGTATTTGTGCCAAGGTCCAGATTCAAAAACCAGAAGATGGTGCTGCATTTTTAATTTCACTCATTAATCCAGTTTATTCCCACAGAACACTCTCATAGGGCGGGTTATCTTTCGTAGAATTTTGTATGTGATATAACCAATATCTATTATTGTTGACTAACCACATTGAATTATCGTGAGTACTGTATCGTTTTGTATTAGTTCTTTTGGTATATCATGTCAGTTTGTATTTGGTATTGAATGTAAATGCTGTATTTTTCTGTCTTTTTTTATTTACATTTTTCATATCGGCCTTTCCATAATAAACATACATGTAACAGAGAAATAATCATAATTGAGTATTTTTTATGACCTCTACTAGCACAGTAAATAACAACTGCGATTTATCAGTGTATAGAGTCCTACACATGTGAAATAATATACATGAGATATACGAATATATTTTTAAAATAGCTTTTGTTTTTAACTGCAAGATTTTATATAATGTCATGACAAATTACAAAAAAAGGTTTTGCATGTCACACTACTAATGTCTACAGCTCCAGATGCTACATATGTATTTTAAATGTGTCGAAGTTCGGCAATTCAAACCGGAAAAATGCTACATGCGCTGCCGAGACGTGATTACACAAAACAGACAATCTGAACCTCATATATCTGATGCATAACCTTGATCTCTGGGATCTTTTCAAGCCCACATGCTCTCTGGCATCCTAATATAGATCAGTATTTGTCCTTGAACTCATGACTGGTCACAGAGTGCTGAATAACCAATATCATGCATAGAAAATCCACCTCTTAAGAAAATGTTGTGATGAAATCAGCCATTTCCAGTCGGGGTCCACCTGATCCCCTTCTTATGTTCCTTCCACCTACAGAGCAGCAGTGCCTTGAACGTGACCCGGAAGTGCTTGTTACAGAGGGCATAGCAGAGAGGGTTGACTGTGCTGTTGACGTAGCAGAGCCAGTATCCCAGCTGCCACAGCCCCTCGGGAACGCAGTCGTCACAGAAAGTGGACACTAGAACCATGATGTTATAGGGTGTCCATGTTACAATGAAAGCCAGGAGAATGGCACTGAGGGTCCGGGCCGCTTTCTTCTCCCTGATCAGACACGAGGTCCGGGCTTTCCGGCCCTGCTGGCCTGTGGTCAGTGATAGAGCAGAAGGTTGAGCAGCACTTGTGGTGATTGGACTCATAGGCGAATTAAGCGAATTCTGACTGCCTGGCTGACAGCTCCGCGGGGACTGATTATTGACTGCAGTTTTATCCATTCGAACAAGTGGAATGTATTTGTTTTCGTCTGTTCTTGGAGAAACGTGGTCAGTGTCCATCTGTGGATGGCTGTATGTAGTATATGAGTTGGACGTCTCGTCCCTCTCCCTTCGTTTCTTCCACCACGCTGCTGTTTGATGGGTGATGGTGGGACAGATGGTCCTTTGTCCCTTCCTGTGCTGCTTTTGGTCTGTTTGTGGTCTTACATCCTCAACACTGCGAGAATTGCTGTGACAAGATCTCTGGGAGACATAAATGATGAACCAAGAAATGAACATCTTTGCTCTTTCAGTTATATGAATGTATTGTATTAGTTCACTTCAATTGGAATAGTTTTTACAAAGTTAATCATTTTTACTTTGTGATGAAATACTTAAACTTAAAAAACTTAAACAAAAAATGTGTTGCCCTGACAGGTTAAAGTTTACTAAAAATACTCAAACTAAAATTGAAATAAAAATCGAAATAAATTAAAGCTAAATTAAACAAATCTATATAAAAATACGAATTAAAATGACAAAAGCACAAATAAAACTGAAAATATATAAATACAAATCATCTCAAATTATTAAAGGGATACTCCACTTTTTTGGAAATATGCTCATTTTACAACTCCCTCAGAGTTAAACTGTTGAGTTTTACCGTTTTTGAATCCATTCAGCCGATCTCCGGTTCTGGCGGTACCACTTTTAGCATAGCTTAGCATACATCATTGAAGTGCGCAAGACCATTAGCATTTCTCCCAAAAAATTACCAAAGTGTTTCAATATTTTTCCTATTTAAAACTTGACTCTTCTATAGTTACATCGTGCACTAAGACAATGACTAAGGCTGATATGCAGGGTACCAAACCAAACACTACCAAACACTTTGGTAATTTTTTTGGGAGAAATGCTAATGGTCTTGTGCACTTCAATGATGTATGCTAAGCTATGCTAAAAGTGGTACCGCCAGAACCGGAGATCTGCTGATTCAAAAAAGGTAAAACTCAACAGTTTAACTCTGGGGGAAAAAAAAAGTGGAGTATCCCTTTAATAAATACTATAATATTACATAAATATTACTAAAATAACACTGGCTCTGACTTGCAATAGCATTTACTGGTACATTATGATTGGTTGGCATGTCTTTTAAGTTGTACTAAAACTTGTAGCCTACCTTATTTCTTTTCATAATCATTATTTTCTCTGGATTATTGCTTGAATTGGTCATAAATGTATTGCTTTTCCCATTCTTTTGTACAAGTGTTTTGTATAATCTCTATAACTAACAAAAGCCTGTTCCTACATCATCCTCCAGGAAGTGATGTCAGTTTAGGTATAAAAACAATGGCACAATAATATATAAATCTTGTTTTTGGAAGGCCTACATTCTAGGTTTGTATTTTATTGTTATTTTCTTGAAGTCTACCAGGGGTGGGATGGGGTGGGTTCAGTTCTCGACTTGTATTGTATTCTTGTGTCTCTTGACTTTAAAAAAAGAAAAATTCAATAAACAGTTGTTAACAAAAAAAACAATGGCACAAACATTAGTAAGGCTGTATCTGAATCCTTCCTTACTAAAAGCAAAAAACGCTGGTAGGTCACAATGACAATGGCTTAATAATGTGTTGCTTTAGGTAAATCACGGTCATTTTGTAATAAATCATTCCCGCATTATAGTTCAATCAAATTAATAAAATGTGACCTCAAATTAATAATTTGTAGCCACGATATCAGTTTTTACCGATGTCATGTCATGTGCAGGGCTTCGTACCCATTAAAATTTGAATGGACCACCATTTTAATATAAAGCTCACCTGAGATGCGTTTCCAGTGAATCCTCCCTGTGATGCTATCAGTCCAGCTAGCTGCTGAGAACGTTTCTCTGTCTCACGATACACCCGCCAGTACAATGCAACCATAACACTTACTGGCAGGTAAAATGCAGCGATGGCGGTTCCAAATGTGATCACAGGCTGAGACAGGAACTGGATTGAGCACTGGAATTCTGGAACGGTCCGTTCACCCACTATATACTGCCAGAACAAAATGGCTGGAGCCCAAAGCACAAAGGAGACGGTCCACGCTAGAGTAATCAGCACTGCAGCTCTTCTGGGTGTTCTAGTGGCTCGATAGGTCAGAGGTCGCATGACAGAGAGGTAGCGGTCGACACTTATGGCCAGCAGGTTCATAACAGAGGCATTGCTTGCCACATAATCCACAGCCAACCACACATCACAGGCTAGGTTTCCTAAAGTCCACTGGCCAATCAGGATGTAGGTAGTGTAGAGGTTCATCGAGATGGCGCCCAAAATGAAGTCAGCCACAGCCAAGCTTAAGAGGAAGTAGTTGCTCACTGTCCTCAGGAGTGGGTTGACCCGAAAAGAGATCATGACCAGGACGTTGCCTGTGATGGTAATGAGGGAGAGTGGAATGGTTACGAGAGTGATCATTGCTGTCCTCCAGTGGACGGGACCACGAACCGGTGCGTCTGTCCCATTGAGTAAACTGGAGAGATTCAGAGCGAATGTGGTCACGTTCATCATGAACTGAAGATGGCTGGAAAGATAAGATTATCTTTGTCCTTTAAAAGTCTGATGCATGCTTTGTATTGCATTTTTGGGGGGACTCCTGATGTTTGATTACTCTGTGAAGACAAATAGGACATTTCAAACTCTAAATAGTTAATAACTCTTAATAAAAAAATGTGTTGAAAGTGTACACCAAAGAAGAAAACGTCTCAGGTTACATATGTTCCCTGAGAACAAGTTAAGAATCAAGAACAGAATCAAGTTCTTTAATAGACACCTGAATCATCATCATAATTAGGGATGGGTATCTAACCGGTTACATTTTAGAAACCAGCTAAACCAATACATTTTTTTTTTTTGGGGATGTTTGCAGAGCACAGAAAACTTGAATGGTTTAAAATCACATTAAAATGCACTACTTTATTTTAAACCATTTAAGCACAAGAAGACTCACGCTCGTTTTCTGTGCTCTGCACACATCCAAAATGTTTGCACAGAAAGTCACCTCTCATATTGAATATTGTTGCGCGATACTGAACTGAGTTCTCTTCTGCATCTTTTTGTACTTGAATGGACAAATACACACAAAAATATCTCAACATACAGTCGGTTATGTCTTAAGTGAACGTAAACCATTGACAAAAATGCAGCTCTTAAAGTTACAGCAGCGCAATATTCCCTAAACATTTGCTATAAATCAAACAACAAAAGACAAAACAAAAAAAAAAATCACTTGCAGTAGACTGAATGCCTTTTGTAATTTGTAATGTAGCCTAAATTGCATGCATTAAAGGGATGCTCCACTTTTTTTTGGAAATAGGCTCATTTTACCACTCGCCCAAAGTTACAGTTGAGTTACACCGTTTTCAAATGCATTCAGACTATTTTCTGATATTTAGAAGCAAATCAGTAACCAGACAGTTTCTGCTCTCATTGACTTCCATAGTGGAAAAAAAATATGGAAGTCAATGAGACCAGAAACTGTCTGATATTCTTCTAAATATAAACAAAAATCGTCTGAATACATTCGAAAACAGTAAAACTCAACTGTTTAACTCTGGGGGAGTTGTAAAATGAGTATATTTCCAAAAAAAAAAAAAAGTGGAGTATCCCTTTAAGTGCAACATATTTTACATTTGATTACAGTTTCAATACCTGAAAATCTTAATTTTCAGGTATTTTCTGAAAATCTGTTTTTTTTAATCATATCTTTGATCAGTTGGATTTATTTGTGTGATTGCTAATTTGTTTATTTGTTCTTTTTTGATTACTGAGTGTACTTCAAGTACTACTTGTCTTTAATAATGCTTAAAAAATGTATTAGTTATGTTGGAAATCCCAATTAGTCATTGTATTGGGAGACACGCCCACTTCCTTGAGCTTCCTTCACCTGAGGATAATTACCTACCAATCACCCTCACTAGTGTGTTTCTCTTTGTGCTGACTGTTTGCTCCTCTGCTTGCTGCGTCTACTTGTAAGTTCATTTAAACTTTCTGTATTGATATTAATTTTATAACTGTTGATTTGTTTAAAGATTTTCTTTATGGTGATGTGAATATATATGTAATTTGTATCAGTAAAGTTAACTTTGTTTGATTGTACACACCAGCAATATGCAGCAATTGTAAAGTCATATGAAAGAAATGGGAGAACCAAGAAAGAAAGCAAATGGCAACAAATCAACTGAGAAGTAACTTCTGGACTCATTCCTGTGTTCTAATCGACACACCATTCTGGTAGCACTCATCCTTAACCAGCTAAACACCGAATAATTTACAGCTAATTGTTTTTGCTATGGTATTTTTAAACCATAGGCAAAAGTTCCTTGTGTCTTTTTAGCCTGTTGATTTTTGCTCATGGTATTCAGCCACAATGTAATATTTTGTAGAACGACTTAGATGAAAAGTGAATAAGTGAATATATATATATATATATTTTACCTAATCTTCGTCGCTATGTAATGGCTGAGTACTATAAGCACAGAACACTATTGAGTGCAACTCAACTTGGATCAGCCCTGAAGTACATGTGGATTCTGGGGTTGAATCCGCATCTAAACTGTAAAACCTGATGAATGTGTGCAGAGAGGACCAGCCTGCCACACACATCATGCAATGACACACCCCTAGCAAGAGCATTGGAAGATTAGTGTAGTGTCCAGCGCCTTATTCTTCTGCACTCCTAGTGTAGTGTGAGCCCTGACCCCTATAGGTGAGGCAATACCATGCACCTCATAGAAAAGGGTGATAGTGTCTGCAATCCAGTGTGAAATTTGTTGCTTGCTGACCACATTACCTCAAGACCTTTGTACAAGATCAAAGCAAATGAACAGGTGAGAGGATTTATGCCACTGGCCAAAGCGGTTGACAGATAGATCCTCAAGGCAAGACTGGACATAACAGATGCAAGCTTTCCTGCTCCAGCATCTCAAGAAAGCCTGCAATAAACCTGACTGACCAGTTGCAGAAGGAACTTTTGGTGCAACTTTTTGGTGCATGGCTCTGACATCACCCAGATCAAAGTCCAAGTAGGATAAGGCAACTGACAAGGCCTGATTACCTTTTAAGCGTCATCAAGGTACTTTTCTGGAACTGACTCTAAGGGCTCAAATGGGGCCTCTGTTACCCCTTTTTCACCAAAAAAGAACTGGTTCGGAACTGGTGCTGATTCAAAGTTGGTTCGGAGTTGGTTCAACTTGCGAACCCCTTCAGAACCTGTTTGTTTTTTCCACTGACTAGAGCGCCCAGGGAACAACATCGTTCCGTCACTGTATACAGGGGTTGGACAATGAAACTGAAACACTGGCCAATGTTGGAGGTTTCACATCTATATGCCTGGCGGCCAATCTTCAGAGTGAAGCACGGGTGGATCAGTGATGGTTTGAGCTCCAATATCATGACAATCCTGATTGTATTTGATGGACACGACACTGCCGAGGACTACCAAACCCTTCTGGAGGATCATGAGCACCTGATGCTCAAACCGTGTATCAGTATGATCATGCACCAACACACACAGCAAGACTTGTGAGAGAACAAAACTATCTCACGACCAATTCGTACGAATTTGACGCATGATTAAAAAGTGTCTAATTCGTACTAATTCGTACGACCTCACTCGTACTAATTCCTACGATTTGTCTAAACCCACGTGATGGTTAGGTTTAGGGGCGGGGTCAGGGGTAGGTCATTCGTACGAATTCATACGAATTGGCCAATTCGTAAAATATGTACGATTTAGCAAAATCGTATTAATTCGTACGTGTGAGGTCGTATGAATTGTTACGAATTAACCACTTTTTAATCATTCGTCGAATTCGTACGACTTGGTCGTGAGATCGGGTTGGACAGAAGGGTTTGATGAAGATGAAAGTGACGTTGAACATCTCCCATGGTCTGACAGTCACCAGATCTGAATATTATTGAGGTGTTTTGGAGGAGCGAGTCCACCAGCATCATATAGTGACCTGGACACTGTTCTGGAAGAGGAACGGCTCATAATCCCTCTGGTCACTGTGAAGGACTTCTATCTGTCAATTGGTGCTGTATTTGGATGCAAAATGAGGCCCTCACCATTCTAACAAATCATTGTGTAGTAAAACCAGGTGTTTCAGTTTTTTTGTCCAACCCCTGTACGTCCCCATACATCTTAGCTAGAAACGCTTTCAAGTACAACATTACTTTGGGATTATCTCTAGCTTGTGTACCAAGAAGGCTTTAAAAACAATTGAAATATCGTTGTGTACCCCTGTCTTGTCTTTTTTTTCTTTCCATTCATTTGTTCTATATTGTGACTGTTTTCTTCTTTGCTAATAAAAAAAAAATACAAACACTTGCGCCAATCCATGTGTTTCTTTAAATGTTTCTCCTGGCTTTGTGATCCTATATTATAGTCAAAAAATATGTTTAGAGCACATCTGAACCCGCCCCAGCCCCTGACGTACGCATGACGTGGTAAAAGAACAGTTCTAGTCCAGCAAAGAGTTGGTGCCGCTTTGGAACCAGTTTTCCTGACTGAGAACCGGTTCTTTGGCTGTCGAAACACAAAGAACTGGTTCGCGTGCAGGCACCGGCTCTGAACCGGCTCTCAAAATGCTTTGGTGGAAAAGGGGTATGTCAGAGCTCCTAAGACCAATGCCAAGTCCCAGGAGGGAACTTACAACCGGCAGATAGCAGCAGATACCAGGGGTCTGGCACAGCGCAAGCACTGAGACACCAAATTATGTCTCCATAGGCTCCCTCAAAGGGAAAGTGGCTAGCAGAGATAGTGGCCACATACACCTGCATATCCCCACTTCAGTCCTGAACCCACAGGGCAGTCAACTGGGTTCATACAAACAGTTGCCATTGTATGGCATGAAGCTTTCTCGTGGATGGAGGTTTATACTTTAAAATTGTATTAGCAATCTCAGCCGACAGACCAAAATCTATGAGCAGATGCAAACCCAGACCCAGTTTCCAGATCTCTGGTCGAAAATAAAATCCCTTGTGATTGAGATAGGTAATCCCTCTTGGTTTTCCAAATCTCTCATGGGAGTCCATCCAGGAGAGATACTGGGTCCGCACACATTTCATTCCCCCAAAAAAATATCAAAATGAATTTTAATACAGAACTTAACATGCTCATCAACAAAGTTTGGTCGTTATGACTGCAACAATAAAATGCGATGACCATCTGTCATGACCGTTAATAAGAATGGTAAACTCTGATTAGTTATAAAAGCAAAGGAGTGTTTGTTCATATTAACCTGTTTATTGATGGCCAGCCTGAAACACACGCTAGTCAGCCATGCAAAGTCAATATCATCATCCTGAAATCAACCCCCGATGTGTATTTAATTTACTTGTGCTGTAGCAACAGAAAGCAAACACACACAATGTACTTACTGTACTTCACTGTGCATCTGATAAATGAGACTAAACTCTTTGTTATTTAACCTTGAATGTTTTTTTACAGGACCATAACAGACAGTTAACTCTCATACTAACCTCACAGTTAACCTCACAAATCAGTCAGACTGTTGAAGTTAGCAGTGAATGTAATGAATGTCAAACCAATGGCATTATGGGCTTCTGGGGTTACTATATAACACCATTAATATAGTTACTGTCACTTGCAATACAAAAAAAATAAGAATTTAAGTACTTGTCAAACATCACTTTCTAGTCCACGGATGCAGATCCTTCTTCTGAATGCTGTAGTTAATCCCGTTGGACAGGTTCCTTTGAATGAAAAATCATCACTCACAAAATGTGATGCTCACTCCACCCTCAGCAATAAAGAACAGGTCAATCAAACAAGAGTGGAAAATAGGTCAGTGTAGCCCTACATGTCTTTCCTGTTTTCATCAATTACAATTATTATTTACTTTCACTAAAATGAACTTCCACATTTAATCCAAAATCTTTAATAATGTAATCGTAATAAGATAGCTAGTCATTCTAGTCACTTCTTAATCCACGTTTCCCAAAGCCATTGCCAGGTTTATTGCAACAACTAACTGGTAAATTGTATATGCTTGTGTCTTTTTTTGTCGGTCCCATATGCAGTAGAAGTAAGTAGTATCAGCAAACACACTGTGAGTTTATCGTGGTAAATTTCTGGGGTACCTCTCCCTAGCTCCCAAGTTCATTATATCGTGTGCATGAGTTCGGGCACATTGGGGCATTACTTACTTAATTTCCGGTGACACGACTGTGTACCATGTCACCAAACAAAATTGTATTCTATTAAAGGGGACATATCATGCAAAATCCACTTTTTTAGGCCTTAAATGCATTTTGTTATATTTGCATTTGTATATTTGGAGTGTTTATAAGTACAGAAAAGATGAAATTATTCTCTTCAGGTGCTTCGTTTGTTTCTTTATATTCTGTTTTGGTCATATTTTTCAACCTGTTCAGATTTTTCTGTTCTCTATGACGTTTTTTGAACTATCACGTCAACGTATTTGCAGCGGAACTGACAAATAAGGACATTGACTACCGGCCCAACACTTCGAGAAATCCGCCGTTATTATTTCTCGCTCCGATTTTGTAGTCCAAGCTCAATGATGCAGAAGTTACGAGAGGGCAAGTCAAAATGTTCGGTTCTTAGATGTAGTGACCCGAAGCACTTCAAGGATCCCCACATCAACAACCTCCGCCAGTATAAAGAAGGGTTTGCCGATCGACTTCGTCTGAATGAGAGGTAAAATCCTTCTATCATTTAGCTGCTGTGTTTTCTGATGCTTTTCTACACGTGAGTTATTATATTATTATTAATACAGATTTTTAGTGGTAAGATTGGACCATAGTCATTTATCTTGTCAGTGTGCTTGTTTTAACAAGAGAAATAGTCGACTTTCACTAATAACACAACATAGCTAACTTAACTTTACATACCCCTGCATCCATATGAAGAGGTTGTTCTGCAGGTTCGTCGTTGTCTTTTTCAACTCGCTCGCTCTGGCTCGAATATGTAAGGCTTGATGGACAAGTCTTCCGTTGTTAACATTTTGTTATCTTTGAAGCTATAGTATATAATCGTATATCTCTTATCAAACTACAATAATGGCCGAACTCGGGGAGTTGAACCGAGTGTGAACTCAGTGACCTGGAGAGCGGGCGGGGAAAGACGCAACTCCATTTTATTTAAAGGGGTCGCTTTGAAACGGGTCGCTCACAGACGCACATCAGAAAAGGGGTAGAAAAGGGGCCTGTGGACCTATAATAATGAGAAATTCAGACCCAAGCATTGCAGTTATGCTTTATATAGACCACAAATGTATGATTTATAAGTAAAAATGAATGATTTAAAAGCATGATATGTACCCTTTAATCAAAACAGGCAGATCCTATATCCTTTTGGTTTTATTTTATACTGTTTAAACATGTTCTGTTACATATCCTTACAACATTACAGCCAAATATTAAATACAAATGATTACTAGAAGTGTTCACTACCCGTCTAGTTTAACTGACATAGGCCAGTAAGAACTGTGTGGGTAAACCTCACTCCTCTGGCCTCAAGAGGCACGCTAGCAGCGCTAGCGCTCGCTAGTAACGATAGCTGTCTTTAGCGCCAACCTCTTAAGCCGGAGACCCAAGTTCGAATTCCGTGGGTCAAGTAGAACCGGTTACATTTGGTGCGGTGACCAGTGAGGAATGTAACGGACGTAGGCCAATAAGAGCTGTGCATGTAAACCTTACTCCCCTGGCCTCAAGAAGCATGGTAGCGTCCGCGGTCTTTAGCCTCCCACATCAGAGACCTTAGGTTGAATCCCACTCAGGGGTGCATTTCCCATACAACTACTATGCATCGTTAAAGAAATAAACTAGCTAGTCATGACTGTTTCCCAAAACCATATTGTTGCAAAGTGGTCTTTCAACCATGTTGGCTTATGACGTCACACACGTGGCGGAGTAATAACTTATTTTAATGAAACTGTTTGAGATCAACTTAATGCTAGATGTTTTGATATAAATTAGACACTAGTTCTCATTTTGCTCAGTTGTTTCACTTTATTTCCGTATTCAATCATAGGCTCGTTCTTAAAGGTCCCTTGACAGGCTGCCCTTATAATGTTAGTATGTTTTTTAGATCGATCGATAGATTTAGAACGATCACGCGCAGTCTTCAAAAACGGTGCTTTAAACCTCTTGACAAACTCAAAGATGTAAATGACATTTGTATCTTCTAAATAAAAGACACAGGTTGTAATGAATGTCAGCTTGCTTATTTTGCTCAAGATAAGGATTTATTAAGTCCACATGTCATGCAATCTAGAAACTATGGAATGTTGGAACGATGGGCTGATGCTGATAACGACGGAAATTGCGACTATAGTTGTCTAACGATGCTCGCGGGAAACACACCTCTGGCCTGAACGGGTCGAGTAGGACTGGTCACACTAGTGATGTGTAGGCTATGCTGACATAACACAATTTTGTTTGTCTTTTTAAATCTTTGATCTCACAGTATGAGTTGGCTCATGCGTTTTATGTTTCATGCTTCAGAAATGTAACAGAATTTCCAGTAAGGGACCATAGTAGGCATTAATTCTCCCTGGTTTTTGCAGTGTATTGTGGAATTTTTTAGGGAGCAAACGTTCCAGTTCCAGGGTTGTCTTAAAATGGCCGACTTCCTGATCAGGGATTGAGAGGCACCCCAGGACCAGGGTTAACCACTGCAGTGCTTTCAGGTGTGCTGTCTCATGGGATTGCAGAAGAATAAGCAGGACAAGAAAGTAACACACGTACTTCAGCATAAAATCAACAACAAAAAAATAAACATGATCTGATGTTTAGGCCTATCTATTTAAAAGGCATATTTTTGCTTATTAGGATTGTCATTATGAATACAAGTAGCCAATATTTGTATTATTTCACATATTTAATTATTGTGGGTTTGTGTTTGCATTTCGCCATTTTTATTCATTTTTGAGGTCCGGTATACCTGAGTCTGTTTTTGTGCAAGTGAGATGAGTAGATGCATGCTAACATTTTAGTCTAATACACTGACCATCATGTTTACACAGCACGTACGCCTTTGCACTGTACTTCTGATTTCTCTCAACATGGGCACAGCATGGGAAAAAGGTAAGTAACTTGCATTATATTTTGTTGAAACTAAAGTAATGAGGTACTTCACTAGTTACGTGACAAACCTTCTGTCAGGACCACTATTGACAATTAGCATAGGCTACATTTTGGATTGGCTAGGCTATGGACCAACATGGATGTAATGTATACAGATATTAATTCAATATTTCAATGTACGAAATAATTTGAGAATTGAGTCTGATTAAAAGAGGAATCAGAATGCCAAATCCTGACCGGACGAGAGGAGGAGCTGGGGATGGAGGAGGGTGTATGCATAGGTGTATGTATACAGTGATAGGCGTCGTATTCCTAGGTATACGTGGATTAGCAGAGTCAGCTGATGTGAGCTTGACTATAACGTGACCTGCCTGAACTGACGGGATCAATATGATTACGTAACGTGCATTGTTGGTAATGCGTTACCCCCCCAACACTGCACATTGTGTCAAGAATGGGTCAAGAACAAGGGGATCCGAAGGTGAAATTAATTTTAGGCTAAAATTTTAAAAATGGGAACATAGTCACACAGGACCTTGTCACAAAAAAACACTGCTAAACATGTGAGTTTTGCCTCAAACCTTTACTAAGCATCTAAGTAGGCTACCTAAAGGTTTTCAGGCAAAAATTATGTTAATTTAGCAGTGGTTTTTCATGTTTTAAACTCCATTTTAAATGACCTGAATAATTTTTCCCATCTGAACTGAAAATCCAAAAGGCTAGTAATATTTTTGTGAACACAGTAAAACAGTAAATGCAGACAAGGATGAAAAGAAAACTGAAAAAACTGAAAAGTTGAAATGTGTTCTCCATAGATTAGCTATTGTTTAAAAAAAGTCAAGTTGGGAGAAACATTAACTGTCAAATGTTTTTTTAATTTTTTTGTGTTTCATTATTGTTGTTTAAAATTTTTTCTGAAAAAAATGTTTGCTCAAGAACATGAGATTAACATTAAAATAAATTATTAATTAAGATTAAATGTAAACTACATAAGTAGCCTAGTATAAATGTAGCCTAAATATATAAATGTAGCCTAAATGATAAATGTAGCCTACATACAGTCAAAAAGTCAAATTCACGTTATTTTCAGTGCATAAAAACACATGCAATGCCTACAAAGACTTATTACATCTATAAGAATTAGCTAGTATTTTCAGCTTGTAAATGCATTTTTGATAAGCAATTTTAATCTATTGAAATTTCTAAATTTCATTTTTTATAACACCTTTCTGTAATGTAATACTCAATAAAATCCATAAAAGAAAGCTCACCTGCTGTAGAGATTCTGAATCATCTCCTATCTGTTGTTCTCCATGTGTTTCTTGCTCTGAACTCTCCAGCACAAAAATATTCACTGAGCTGAACAATCAGACAAACTCTGAAGGTGGACAACTTCTGACACTCCTCACTTCCAAAACAAACACCCTTGGCAATGAATGCACCAGATCCCACCTATCTTCTCTTTAATAATTTGGCCATGTCACGTGGTATGCAAATTATAATTATTTTTTAACTGAATGGTTTTTATTATGATTTTTTTTTCTCATGTGAACCGCACACGTTGTTACGTTGTTGTTTAAAATTAATGCAGCACTTTACTGTGTGCAGTTAACATAATTTCTACATTTCTTTTTTGCTCAATTTCCAACTGCAGGGGGCACTAAATAACAAGAAATGCCGTTTGGTCACGGTAGCCTATATTTCAGTTCATTGATTATTGCCCAATCTTTTATCAACACGGAAAAAAAACTGTTATTGTATTGACAAGACAACATAACTGTTTTTTTTGTTTTGTTTGTTTGTTCCGAGTAAACAATCGAGAGTTCAGGATAGGCTGTGTGACGGTAAATTAATCTTGCTTCCTGGAATACTCCCCTGTTTTGTTTGTTTGTTTGAGTTTTGCGAAGGTCAGTTTAAAAAAACTTGGGAATATTTTAGAATGCTTGCGATGAAAGTTCAGACATGTGATATGCGAAGAAAATTTTAAAAACAAATTCAATATTAGCCTGCTTCTCTGTAAAATATATTTTTTTTTGCTCACAAAATTCAGACTGTTAACTCAAGACTCAAAAGACAACTCCATATCTTACGGTAGTAAGATATGTCTACATGCATCACAATAGGAAAAAAAAGTGAAGAAGTAAAGTGTGTTTTAGATTAACATCCTTATCTATTTTGTCCTCAGAGGATAACTAAACAAACCAGATTAAATGTTTGTCAAGGCAAACTTAATTGGTTTGTGAAAGTAGTTAAAAAGCTGTTTTGATTATAGCTTTTGTGGTTGCTGGGGCATTCTGTGTGACTGTTGTTCTGGGTGTTTGTTTAAGTTTTGCTAAGTAAGTGGTTACTAGGGTGTTGCTATGCAGTTTCTAAGGCCTACATCAGACTAAGCATCAGGCCCTTCTGGAACTCAGGATGGAGGAGGAGGTGTGTTTCAGCTTGCTGTGAGAGCCCTGGAGGATGCAAGTGTTATGCACATTGCTTGGCCAGATGGGCCTCTAAATTACAGATAAATTCTAAATTCTAAATTCACTAAATTTTCCTCGCTTTTGTTCTATTTTTTGCTACAGCCTTGTAGCCTATATTTTGAAGAAAAAATGTATATAATGGATAAATGTCAACATTCTTCTAAAACAAACTAACACTTACAAACTATAAAACAGGACAAAAAATGTCATATATATATTCATGAAACGAGTTCAAGTCACTATGGACTTCCACAAAAGCATGTGGTGTGTGTTTAAACACAAAATAAACCAAACCAAACCAAACAATGATTTAAAGGCACACTATGCAGGAATTCCGTTTTTGTTAAACAGCGACCCCTAGAGTCGCTGTGGAGTACTTGTATTTAACGTTACTGTCGCAATACCACTCACGCAGAGCGTCTCTGCACTCACTCCTGATACCCCTTTGAAGCTGTTATACGACTATATACTAGGAGCAAAGAGCTAACTTACCAGTCCAGTCAGTTTTAAATCCAGCTTCTTCTTTCAACCTGCGCCAACGAGCAAACTCCTTTCCAAGATCGACTCTTGTTTTTCCTCGAGCATAATCCCTCTCACGTTTTCTCTGTTTTGCCTGCTCAAAAGCAGTTTTAAACTTTTTCCTTGCCATAGCCATGGCAGGAGTCGAGCAGGCGGAAAAATAGTAGCAAAAGCCTTAGCTCCAGAACCTGTGTATATCAGAGTATATGAGAGCCTGTGGTCACATGACGGTTGTAAAGCGAAACGTTCTCCAGGCATTCTCCAGGTTCCATGACCTGGCCTAAGATGGTGCGCCTTCTCCAAACTTACATAGGCGGTATTTCAAGAGGGCAGCCCCGCTCGGAGCATTGATAGCATTGGGCAGGCCTGCCTAGAGCACTGTCAAGCGTTGTATATTGGCCTGAGGAATCATTTAAAATAACTCATATGCGTCAACTCTTTAGGTCACAACGTCTGAGGTGTGCCTTTAAGATTTTTTAATAAACACTTTTTATCATTCTGGTTTTAACTCTCTTCATATCTTGGTAGCAATCAATAGTAGAAGTACTTAGTCTAAATGTCAATATGTGGAAGTCTCAGGATCAAACAAAAGTTCATTCGCATTGCATTCGGTCTGAATTTGCATTCAACATTGCATAGAGTCTTTTTTCTGAATCTGAACCCAAATAGAATCACGCTAATTCACTGGCTGATGGCTCGGGTGCCTCCTCAGTCTGGGATGGCCAGAATGGCACTACAAATAGAAGACCAATTTTGCTTTCCCTCACCCTGCAAAGGACGGCAGGGATAAACTTGACCAGAGGGAATACATAATAGTCTCAAATCCGTCCATGGATGAGCAAAGGCATCTATCCCCAGAGATGTCGGATGAGTCAGGGAGATCCATAGGGGACACAGAGTTGAGTCTTGCGACGCAAAGAGCTACCGTTTGGAGGTTCAGCGTCCATTCCCCCGGCCTGAGTTACTGTGTCGGAAGGGAATGCGCTGAGGTTCAAGGCTCCTGGAATGTGAACTGCTTTCTTCAGGGTGTATGACTTGGCCCTTCAATGGGCGGAAGAGGTTAATTAAATTGGTAATTGGTGCTTATTCTTTATCAAGCTTAAAGCTTAAAAATGGAAAATCTGACTCAAGACGCGATATTGCAACGCATTCTCATCCCAGGGCGTCATACAGTGACGCTTGTGACATTGCATCTAAATCCGACACACATGGCACCCTTTAGTGTCAATATAACACGCTTCGGTTATGGATAGTTTTAGGACTGGGGTAGGGTTAGGGTTATATCACTAGGAGGCGCCTTCGGGCCCATGTAGACGCAATGTCATAGAAACCATAGATATCTATATAAAGGCTAGATATCTCGACCATGCTGCTGGCCAATGGAGGTCAACGTCTGCACCTGGCGGCCATCTTGTCACAGGCAGCTCGCTCACTCGTAACATTGTGTTAATGGTACATGCACTATTTAAATAACCATAACTTGCTCAATTTTCTACCGATTTTCAAACGGTTTGGTTTGTTATAAACGTCAGAGATGTAGTTATGACACAGCATACTTATGAATAATAAGTGTATAAATAAATAATCATCCAGATAATTATAGCCTCATTAATAACGTTTGTAAGAAACCAAACCGTTTGTAAATCCGTCAAGATTTCAACAAGATAAGAGTATTCGTGTATATGTTGACCACTCATCTTACATCAGCTTACCTGTGACAAGATGGCCGCCAGTGATGACGATAGAAACTCCGCCTTAAGACATTTAGCCTTTATGTAGATATCTATGATAGAAACCATTCATATCCTGTTCAGAATTCAACATCAGTGAATTAAAGTCTAATTTTTGGGGATTCCTGCTCATGTGGCGATTATGGAATACAAAATAGCTGCAAAAATGCTTTAAATTGTTTAAGAATATACTTGTTTACATCATATAAATGTATTCCCTTTCCTTTCTGTGTCCACATCTCTTGCCATCTATTCTTAATGAGCTTTTTGATTAACTCTAATTAAAGAATAAAGTTAATAATTAAGATAGCTTTAATTAATAAATCTTAAAGAGCTTTTTCATTTCAGCTCTCCCCAGAAGGACAATGACATTTAGGCTACAAGACATTTATATGACTTAAAGAAGAAGGTATTGTGAGAGAAGTTTGAGGTAAAAGAAGGGATGACACAATAATTCCTCGACTTTGTATTGGACACAAAGCTTTGAATCAATCACTTTTTAAAATTGGTGAAGTATTACAGGAGTGTGCAGAACCGTCTAATGTATATATATATAACAGTGTTGCATAAACCTAATTTAAGACTTATTTTATATATAGGCCTGTATATAAACTACACCAGTTTTTATTTATTTTTAAATAAGGGTTCATTTACGGCAACACATCTGGTGTTGCCACTCGCCCTCAGTTTTTTAGTTTCATGCCTCCATCTGAACCCATGCTAGACGCTGGAGGCTGTCACATGGACACCTACGGTATGACAGGCAATTTAGTTGAGTTAAACTCACATCCTGGTCAGCGATGAACCAGCAGCTGTTATGTTGGCAGGACAGAACTGGAGGATCGCAGGGGGGGAAAAGCTCAGAAAAGCAATGGCCATAATCAGAGCTCCGCTGATAAAGAGGCATGCAACCCTGTCTTTCCTCCGATAAGACCCGGAAAAGCTGATTATTCTATCCCTGGTCTCTTTCTCGCATGCTCTCTCTCCCTCTCTCTGTCATTCTCCTTCCATTGTGGCCGGAGGACAAGGTCTGTTATTTTTAGAGATGTGCGTTCATGTTATCTGACTTGTTCTTTTCAACGCCTCTGAAGAGTGGGCCACTATTGTAACTGTGTGACCTTTCTCTTTACCTCGCAGTGGCCCCATATTTGACTTGAATTGACAGTCATCCACAGCACACATTCTATTATATTTCATCTGTTATGGCTCAGCTGGATGTGGTCGAGAGGGGGAATTGTGTTTACTTGTGTGGAGAGGCCAGAGATGCCCAAGGACAATCTATTAATCATTTGAAGTGGCAGCAAATGTGGATCTGATCTCCCAAGTCTTTGCATGCACAGCCATGCACCCTTACCTCTCTATGTCAAGCAAATTGTGCCATTCTGCACACTAAGCAGAGCACTTTTGTGTTGTCAATCAAGGGTGACACCAGCCTTTACAAAAATAGTACTCACACACACATAAACTAAATTAAAAACAAAATTAAAGCACAGTAAAAAATAAAAGATGCGGTGACTTAAATTTTTAAGTACAATCAACTTAGTTGTTTAAGTCATTTCAACTTCAATTACAATAAACTGACTTAAAAAGTTGAATCTTGTATAATTTATAAAAAAAGTTGTAAATATATTCATTACTTCAATGAGCTTGTTGTTTCTGCCTTAAATTATTGTTTAAATTAATACAATTTTAGCTAACTGTGTGATTATATGTTTCTAGACAGCTCTGATAACAGATCACTTATGGATTTTCTAAGCTGCTTTGAAAAGCACTACACTGTAAAATATTTTTTTTTCTTTTGTCAAATCAACTTAAATAATTTAGGTGGTTCAGATAACATAATATTTTGAGTTTCTGATGATAAAATCAATCTCAACTACTTGAAAATTGTCAACTAATTTGTGTTAACGCAATCTATTGAAAAAAAAAATCTGTATGTGTTGCCAAAACCATTTTTGTGGTTGGAAAATTACATTTTTGTCATCGTTTATTCACCCTCAAGTTGTTGCAAACTTGTATGAGTTTCTTTCTTCTGCTGAATACAATGTAAGATATTTTGAAGAAGGTTTGAAACCAAACAGTTGTTTGGCACCATTGACTTCCATAGTAGAAAAAAAAATACTATGAAGGCAATGGTGCTAAAGTTCCAATCGTTCTTCAAAATATCTTCCTTTGTGTTCATCATAAAAACTAAACTCATACAGGTTTGCAACAACTTGAGGGTGAGTAAATGATGATAGAGTTTTCATTTTTGGGTGGAGTATCTCTTTAAAAAAAGGTTCAATGGGTTAGGGTTCTTGACTCAAATAAATTGATGTTAATAAATTGAAATAGAAAAGGTTCTATGAAAGGAGAAATGTTTTAAATGATTGCTATTCTTGTGATAATGTATGTTTGCTGCTTAATTCATACAAATTAATCAAAATAAACAATGAATTAAAATGAATATAATTAATTAAAACTACTTTCAAAAATAATCACATGATGAGAACCACCGAAAGGTTTTCTAAACTTTTTGTCTAAAAGTGATATAAGATAAAATTAAGATAATAGAGTAACACTTTAAGGTCATTAGTTAACATTAGTGAATGTGTAAACTAACATGGAATAACAATGAACAAAACATTTGTGAGAGTATTTATTAATCTTGTTAGTTTGTCAAAATATACTGACAAAGTACTGGTTCATGTCCTCACTGAAACACATGGGAAACATTGGTCCTTATATATTATTATTATTATTTAAAAATTGGTTGGAATTCAGGTTGATATGGACACTTTTCCCCATGTAATCTCAATGAAGTGTCCCAATAAATCTGAATTCACCATATTTTGATTTATATTGATAAGTTGTATAGTAAAGAATAAGTTAAAATAGTGAAAATGTATTTGTCTAACTTAATTTTGTTTACCAAATTATACATTATAAAAACGTCACATAATTGAGAAATCTATTTTAGCCTATATAAACATAAGACCTATACATCTTTTTTTTAAATCTAGATTAATAGTAATAATTCTTATAATAATAATAACAACACTAAAGTGCTTGAACGTAATTCGTAAAAACGAATTTATTAATTAATTACAAAAATGTTAATTATTATTAGTATTGCTGTTGTGTTAATATTTTAATTGTTATTCTACACAAACCAATTGCATACATTATTGAAAAGCCTTTATTATGTTCTTTCGAAAAGATTACATATCAAACTAACACAGGCAATAATAACAAAACCTTAATTCGAGTCGTATTAGTGCGGTAGGCTACTTTATGGCTATATACACAAAAGAAAAAAATGCTTATAATAATAGGCTTGTTCTTTGATGTCCTTTGATAAATTGGTTGCAGTCTAACACTGATGTATCCACGTCAAATTTGAAAGAAAGAAAGGAAGAAAGAAAGAAAGAAAGAAAGAAAGAAAGAAAGAAAGAAAGAAAGAAAGAAAGAAAGAAAGAAAGAAAGAAAGAAAGAAAGAAAGAAAGAAAGAAAGAAAGAACTTCGTACGAGCTTTACAGGCCTCTCATAGGCTACAATCTGGTGAAAATTAGTATAAATTAGGCTATAATATATTCCTTGTGCGGCTAATCTCTCATCATTTAACTCAAGTGCAGGCAAATTATTCAGACAGTTTTTTTAAAAGTAGCCTATACGGGAAATATTAAAGCCAATGAAAGTTTCTTGTATCTGGCAGAGCAAAACCTTCTCGGCCAGGATTCGGTCTATTCAAATAATCATCAATTATGAAAATAGTGTAAATGTCCATAGAAATGACATGCAGGTAATGTCGGTTTTTTTTTTCTTCACCACGCTCGGATGCCGTGTAGTGAGGGAACCCCGTTGCTGGACTGGAAAGAAGCCTGGACGTTATTCAGATCCCCAACTCCAAAGTTCATGTAGCTGCTGTTTGACTGCGAGGGCGGGATGCTGGACATGCTCGATGGATAGTTACATGAGTAGTTCGTGTTGCCCGGACTCGGAAAATTACTAAACGCAGGGTATGTGTTGTAGGTGAAATGATTGATCCCCACATTATACGAGGTGTTATACGTTGACGTGTCTCCCAGGCACGGTTTCCCATCCCGAACCAGCACCGGCACCGAGATGCGCCTCGGCGGGGCGATGCCAACCATCTCCAGGGTCTGATCCTGACGCTGCCTCTTGCACTTATAGCGTCTGTTCTGGAACCAGATCTTCACCTGTGTGGAGGTGAGCTTGAGCACGTTGGCTAAATGGTCTCTCTCAGGTGCAGAGAGGTACTTCTGCTGTTTGAAGCGTCGCTCCAGCTCGTACACCTGCGCTTGAGAGAAGAGAACACGAGGCTTCCTCCTCTTCCTCTGTTTGGGTCGATCCGCATCATCCAGCTTCAGGTCTTCACTCGGATCTTCCTGGGAGCAGCTGATGTCTGAAAATAGGCGATAATTAATCAGAGTTTATTTAATTGATAGAATTTAGTGGGACATAAATGTATCATTATAACATCTTTCTTTCAATACTGTGAAATATTATATGATCAAGAAGTTATGAAAACATTTTTACATTGATTTAACTCATCAAAATAGGCTAAGTTAAGCAACTTTTTAAGTTACAAGATTCAACTAATTTTTTAAAGTCAATTTAATGTAATTTAAGTTGAAAATGACTTAAACATCCAAGTTGATTGGACCTAAAAATTTAAAGAAGCAACTTTTTTTCAATTAATCGTTTATTGGTCACTTGTTTAGTATTAGTATTATTATTAATAATAATATTGACAAAAAAAGTGACATTTTCACCCCAGGCTGTAGCCTTTGAACCTCTTGGATTAAAAAACAAAAATAAAACTTAGGCTACTTTAACACTTATACATTTTCAATAGTAAGTTACATTTTGTGCAATTTTGGCAGGCCTATTTTTATTTATTTAACATAGGCGTAGTCAATTTAATCACGAACTTTTCTGGTTAAAAACGATTATTCATTTCTAAAGCCGAATCAAAATAATTAAAAATCACAATACACATTGTGATGTATGGCTTACTAATTAATTAGCCTATTAGGTTAATTGATTGAGACGTGGACACTCTTTGGGAAGCGCGCAACTGTTTAAACAATTCAAGGTCTGTAGAAAACATTGTTTGTTGGCCTATTTTTTCCATTTGCGATTTTATATAAACAGGAAACACAAAGTTTCCAATAAATGTCAGACTACCCACCTTTTTTCTCTTTGTCTTCAAACGTGTCATCCGTCTTTGCGTCTTTAACATAGTCCATCTCTAAGAAAGTCTTCCCATAAAAGGCAGCAGTGCCGAAGTTCTTGTTGCCTTTGTCGTCATGCAGGTCTTCGCTGAAGAGAGAGGCTCCGGATGGCATTTCCATGAACTGCTCCTGTTTGAAAGTGGACAGCATGCAGGATGAGGTCGGAAGGAGAGCACTGTCCAGCCGTTGAGACATGTCCAGAGAGACCATGTCCTCCTGATTCTGCTCCAGGTTCAATATGTCCCGCACTGAGAAAGGAGTGGAAGTAATTTGGCTGGAAAACATTGCCATGGAGTGATGGTCCTCTTGGGCAGCCCGGTTGGCATTTATCAAGGGTGCTTAGTCGTTTAATGAATAGGGTTAATATGTTGTGTTTAGAGGTCTTAGCACGTTCATCTTTCTAGTAGACCCCTCATAACACACTTTCGGGGTGTAAGGTAACTCTAAATGACGGCATAGGCTACTGTAGTTAGGCAGAGGGCGGGGTCAGCTGAGCGTACGGCTTTTGATTGGTCGATGACGCATAATATTAAAATGACTTGTAAGACCTCCACACAAGTATGTGCATGAAACAATTTTAACAAACAAACTGAATTGCTGTTGTCTTTTTAGTTAACATTTAGTTTTTTAATGTTCTTACTGATCACTTGTGTTACCTGTTTTTAATATTCACGTCGATGCTTTTTCATGGTGGCAATGTGGAGTTTGTCAGTTCTAAAGATGAATTTAAGTCATCCTTTTTAATTATAGTGCTAGCTACATATGAGGTGGCAAATAGACCGTTTGCATCAGCTTCAAGACTGCGCTCTCAGTTTGTTTGTTTTCTTCTTAATTACTTGATCCAGAGGAAACAACAGGCCGGAGAGGAGTTTTCTCCAAGGGATCAGACACTGCCATTGCTGGAACCTGAAACCTGCAATGACAAACCCAACTGTCTACCACTGAAAGATTCTGGTGCCACTGGGTTTGTTATCAAGACGTGATAACAGATGACAACAAACCAGAAACCCACCCACGCCGAACAGCCGCATGCAGCAGAAGAGCAACACATGTCCATTCATAGAAAATATAGACCTGTGTGGCAGAAATTGGTATGAAATTGATCCATCTGTGGTTTGCTAACACTTTACATGTGCAAGTGTAAAGCTGGTCTGATTTGTACATCTGATTAACTGATTCATTAATTAATGTGTTTTTAATATCAAATTAAATGAATTGATATTCATTAATTATTAATTATATAATATTATATATAAATCTTAGTTAGGCCTGTTTTAGATATCAAAATCGGTTCACGTTTTTTTAAGGTAGCGTGTTACTGTGAAATTATGCATTTAGTGTAATAATTAACTACATATAGTTAGGTTTAGAATTGGGGTTTGGTTTCGAGCTGGTTGCATTATGCATCATTTAGCTAGTTATTAGTGTAATACGTCACCTTAAATACAGTGTTACCTTTTATTTTAATGTTAACTTTATTTTACAGTGTTGTTACACATGCTTACCAAGGTAATAACAGTAAATTATGCATAATTTCATGCGACTAACCCTAAAGCAAATCCGAATCCTATCCAAGTACACTGTAAAAAAATATTGTTGGTTTAACTTGAAGTAACCTAACCTGGTTGTCTTGAAATTTTAAGTTAATTGAAATGGAAATTGAGTTAATACAATGAAGGAGATTGATTTAATCATCAGAAACTCAAAATATTACGTTATCCGAACCACATAAATTAAGTTGTTTTGACAAAAAGATGTTGTAATTACAAATCATGAATATATATATATATATATATATATATATATATATATATTATATATATATATATATATTTTTTACAGTAGCCTATATGTTGTTGGGCTAATTAATATCACTCATACCTAAAAATATAATTACACTGTACACCTTAAAATAACCTTTTAATGTTAGTATTTTATATTTATTGTAGGCCTACTTTTTTTTAATCATCAACACGTTTCACTATCCTATCACGTTTCTGCAATTTATTAGCCTACTGTAATTGAGTTTGAGTAATTCTTCACACAACAAAAATGATTAGGCCTACAAGATCCTCTAAGCATTAAATATGTAATTGCGCTGCAAAACGAACAATAATCCAGGTTTTTGGCAACATCAGAAGGGGAGGCTATGCCGTTCCTCTGGATATTAGCCATGAGTTGTGCTTGTGTGCAGAGGAGACAGACAGTATTATCGTTTATTTGATCTCTAACGGTTAAATGGTGCCCGTGTCTGCACTATAGAGCTTCATGTTTATAGTTTTGCAGAAAATCTTTGTCTGAGTCTCAGACAGGCGTTTCTGATAAATGGACGCAAGCACTTTTCTCTATGAGCGAATCAACACTCCCTTATCCATCCCTGCAATAATTGGTGAAATAAAGTAAACTGACTCTGCAGCTTATGGAAACTGCTTTACATCACGATGATTTATCAGGCATCTCCTCTGCTGCAGTTAGTGACACTCCTCATGACGGATGAAGCTGAAAACTAGCAAATGTTTTCGAAAGTTTACCACGACATTTTTTTTCTGAGACAGGGGTTGCTTGAATAATTCGTCTTGTTTGATGTATGTCTGTTAAATATTATGACAGACTACACGGTCAAGGGAAGAAGAGGCACAAACTCCCACAAAGCGACTGCATCTGAAGGTTTGTCTTTCAACAGCGCATTTGGAGCAGATAAAGAGTTGGATAACGTTCTTGAAAACTTCCTGTAGGCCGACCTGTTTAGGAAATGATGGGGCAGAAGGGTGAGATGGATGTTATCTAAATGAGTCTGCTGCAGTGATGAAACCACAGACCTCTTCATCCCTGTCAATCACTTCCAAATTTAACACCTCCTGAAGGAAGCTAATGCCATAAGACCTCTGGGGATTTTTAATAGTCTTTATTCAACACATTTTGACGAAGAGGCAGTTGCGTTCTTCAAGGCTATTCAACACATGAAAGTGCGTATCTATACCACGAATGTCATCATTTCTCGTGGCATTTTTACGCCAAAAATGGTTTTTGCGTGCATATGCTACGCACTGAAAAGTACCCCTTGGCTAGGTTTAGGGGGGAGGCAAAACTATTTTTGGCGTATTAATGGCACGAGAAATGACATTCGTGCTAGATACGAACTTTCATGAGATCGGGCTCGGCTATTTGATCTGCATGCTTAAAAATAAAGCTTTTATTGGCACGGAGAACCTTTAAAATCCATAGAATCTTTCAAATGCACAAAATGTTCTTCATTATGAAAAAAAAAAAACATTTCGATTATTAAAATGTTCTTCACACTGTTAGAAAGAAGAGAGTCAATAACTTTTTTTAAGAATTAAACAATCACAAATGTTTCCTTGATTGTGACGTTTGTTTGAAACAATGTCTTATTGTGTTAAATTAATATTTTATTATGTAACATTTAAAATTTCGTTAATCTTTGGTTTAATATAGGCTACTTTTTTTGTATATTTAACTGCAATACTTTTATATTTTAACGATTTCAAGTGCATGCTTTACTTTTCCCTAGTTGTATCCATTGTTTGTTCGTGAGTTTATCCAGCAGTTTTGCGTCATCAAATTAATCACATGTCAAATTATTAATCTGATTATTATTAATAGGCATGGACAGAGATTTCACATGACGGAAAGAAATTTTAAAGTGACATTTCATTTCACTGCGGATGTCTTTGCATTTGTGGGGATTGCCCACAAATTAAATTATATTTTATTTTCATGCATTTTGTATTTGACCTCAAGTGCACATTTATAATTCAGTCCAGTATAAATTGAAATAAATAGAAACGATTCAAAGTCGCAAAACAAAACATTAAGGTTTTAATCAAGGCTGCATTTGATTGATCAAAACTTCAGTAAAACAGTAATACTGTGGAATTGTATTGCAATTTAAATAAAGTGGTTTCTGTTTAAAAATATTTTAAAATGTAATTTATTCTTGTAATGTCAAAGCTGAATTTTCAGCATCATTACTCCAGTCTTCAGTCACATGATCCGTCAGAAATCATTCTAAGATCATTTCTTTATTATTATAAAGAAGTTAAAAATCGGTTTTTGCTCTTTTTTGTGGAAATCATGATGCACTGCCAAGTTTGTTATTCAGCAAATACACATTAAATTATATATATATATATATATATATATATATATATATATATATACTATTTATATATTTAAATTTTTAAAGGTTACAAAAAGTCATTTTTCAAATTAATGCTGTTCTTTTGAACTTTATTCATCAAAGAATCCTGAAAAAGGTGACTCAAGTCTGGAGTAATAATGTAGTAAAAATTCAGCTTTGCATCACAAAATTTTATAATATATTACAATAGAAACCAGTTCATTTAAATTGAAATAACATTTCATTGTATTACAGTTTTACTGCATTTAGATCAGATAATGCAGCCATGGTGTGATTAAGATATATACTTTCAAAAACATAAAAAAAAAAAAAACAGTAGGCCTAATATTTTCCAACTTTTGACCGATACTTAGGCCTGCTTAGATATAAAATATGAAATATATGAAGAAGAGAAGAAGAAAATCATTACGTTATTGTAAAGCTGTGCGTTTTGTCATCACATCATTTGTCTTCCATTTCTCGGGCAATAACAATTTTCTTTATGAACTCATGTTCAAGGCTTTGGCAGTGGATTAGTTGGGGCAGACAGTAATGATTGCTCCCTCAGGGAGTCAGATGACCTGCTCTGCTTTGGATGGCTCAGCATAGTTTTGACTACTGGCTCACAGTCACACTGAAACATGCTCATATGCTCACATTTCAAAACGGCTTTGTAACTATATTAATCATAATTAAAAGGGGCTTTTGCAGCTGGTTCCGGCCCGTATGATTTCACAGTCCTTCCGGCTGCTGAGATCATGGAATCTCACTGGATGTGAAAGACTCGTGGACAAGTGACTGTCTCCCAGGCACAATTCCTTGTAGATGGAGACCAAATAAACATATTCTTTATATTATATATTTATACAATTTTATTTTACAATATAATTTGTTACATATTATCAAAAATAAAAATTAAACATATATTGTGTAGGCTATACCTCAAGACACTTTCTGTCCTTTAGTTTTGCTTAATGCGCCTCTCCCGCCTCCTGGTGGCAGATTTTAACATAGCAATGTCAGTGTTTTATTCATGCAGGCCTACACAGTCAACGGTCAAAAAACACTCTATAAAACATATTTAAACAAATGTTAATTTTGCAGTTTAGGATTTAGCAAATATATTTATTAAAGATCACATACAAGGCAATTACAGCTCAGGGAGAAGGTTAAAGTCGCCATGAAACGGACGTTGATAGTAGGCTACTTTCTTCCCTATTCACCTTTGGGTAAGCCCCGCCCCCTTAGTGACTGTTGCTACATCCGTCAAACTTCATCTGCGCTCTGCGTGGCTAATGCTGTAACAGCTCTTCCTGCTGAAATGTTATCAAACTTTTAAGTGTCCGATAGAAGTAGGCAAAGGGCAACTGCAATATGCGTTCGAAGGCTATATTCAAGACACACAGGTGAAACGCAAGAAACAACAAGGCATCCAAAATGGAGGTAAAGATGAACCACCACATAACGTTATCCTACTATCGAGACGGAGGCTGGGACTAACAATATCAGGGAGCAACACTGTTCATGCAAAGCTGGGTAGGTCTCTATTCACTTCTATAATTGTTATTACAAAGCAAACGGACTACACAAATATAACGTTGTTAGCAGCGTGTGCTAGCATATTCAGCCGGTTGTATGAGAACAGACATCATAACCTAAAACATTATAAAACGGTCTACTAACTATAACTTGACACTCACAGTAGGGTTAGAAGTAAAAAAACATGTGCTTGTTGATCTTTGCGGGGTTTAGCTGACTGAGGACATCCACACAGTTTAATCCAAAGATGATACTTGGATTTTACTTTGGTTTTGGGAAGGGAAAAAACGGACACCCCCCTCCAACCTCTCTGGGAAACATGTGTTATGTGTTACAAATGCCCGAGGCATTTGTGGTATGTGTTACAAATGCCCGAGGCACAACGTTTAACCATATTTTGGATAAAACTACGACGGCAATAGCCTGCCCAGACCAAAAATATGAGACCCCTGTGTTGAAAGTCAATGAAGCGCTGTGAAAAAGTGTCGGACCTCTGTGGGAGCTCTTTTTGGCTGCGATGTGATTGGTCAATCTACATTCTAGGGCGTGGCTTAGCCAAAGGTGAATTGTGTGTTGTGGTTTGCCCAGAGACAATTTATGAATTTCGCATAAAGTTTTTAGTTGAAAACAATGCCCCTTAGGTGGGTTAGTTACTTTTTAATTAGTATTTCCCATTAACAGCAAAACAAGATGTGGATTTTTCGCATTTGCCAATCATATCCAATCACAACGAATCATATCTAATTATAGCAAGACGGGGGCATTGCCTTCTTTCAAGTGACTTTCCACCATTCATTCTCAATTACCCCCACTAAACCCACAGCATGCTTCGAGAGAAGCAGATTCCTGCTGTAACTTTATCTGAAGGTGTCGCTGCCGGACAGTGTTACTTTAGAAAAACACGTATTTAAACAATATTTCACATTTTGAAATATTTGCATTGTCCTTTTTTTGTTATATGGATTATATCCTCATCCAATTTTTTGAAAGAGGCACTGCCTCTCTAGCTCCTCGGAGGACACGCCCCTGCTGTGATCTCATGTGATTGACACATGAGAAGATAGTGAGGGGAAAGATTATGGCAATTACATAAAAAAAATTAAAAAAATTAAACCATTATATAAAAATAAAACCATTTATATACCAAAATAAACCATTTATATAAAAAAACTGCAATATTCCATAAAAAATATATAATTGTCTTTAATATACTTTAATGTACTTTAAACTGTATTAATTTAATGGAGGTTTCCGGTTTACCTGTGTTTTGAACTTCATTGCGTTGTTTTTTAGGGTTAGAGTAAAACTGACCGTAAAATTACTGGATATAATGTCCAGTAAGCAGTACTTTTTCTGTTATGTTACCGATTAAAAAAAATAATAATAATTGTGTAGCTATATTAGGTTATATCGTGCCACATTTTGCTACAAATCTGTTCAGTTTAAGGAAACTAAAGGCAGGCAAATGTGGTTTTCCTGAATCTATGTTGTTCAGTAAAAGTGATTGGCAAGAAACAGAATATGAACAGAATTATTAGAAGGGGAATTAAAATAAAAAAAGGGGTTGGGCGTAAAAAAAAATCCTATTTTTTTACGCTCAACCCCTTTTTTATTTTAATTGCATTACCCTACCCAAGTTTAACTATCTTGGCATTCCACAGGCATTGTATACAAATGACCGCTAGAGGGCAGACACGCAGTACTTTACATTGAGGACAGCGGCCATCCAAGAGAAGAACTGACAGTGATTTGTCACATTGATGCAAAGACACACAGAATATAATTCTAACAAAGTTTTAAAATACATTTATTTGTGTTGCTTTTTAGTCCCAGTTGTTCATAAACAAATTATGGAGTCTAATGTGATATCTAGTCTACTACTCTGCCTCTGCCTCCTTGTTGCAGTGCAAGTTTGAGACATCATGAATGCAATGTAGTTTAGCCTCTGAGAGCAAATCTTGTTGTGTGGCTACTGGCTATGCTTAACTGAGGCCTGGTGTTTTTTCTTTCTTTTTTTGTTGTTTATAAAAGAAACACACTTTCTGACATGACTTTATGAAGTCTCCCTCATGACGAGTCTGTTGGTTTACCCTGCATCATCTCTGAAAACTGGGCTCCAGGGATCTTTTGGGAGTCTGACTACATGTCTTTGACCGCTTGACCAGATCACCCACACCTTCAGCTCATCAGCGTTCAGAATGGCCACTTTGTTGTGGTGTTGGCCTGTCATATATTAGCTGCAGCTCCCCAGCCTGAGAACCAGTTCGCCTGCTGCTAGGCCACAGCCACCAGAGGCTCATAAAGCCTGTTTATAGATCCTCAGCCCTATGACAGGAGAGCCCGAACCAGAGTGCAGGAGAGCTTGTTTACGGTGCGGTGGTCTCATTCCAGCGTTCTGCTGCGATGAGCTGAGTGCTTCTGCAGGAGGCTGGTGATGGAAGTGCAGCTGCAGCTCAGCCTGGCGCCAACCCTGTGCCACACGCCCTGACAGCTTTATGTGCCAGTCAAGAGGAACGCTCTTCAGATCAGGCCTGGCTTCAGACAACATGGGCCTGACCAACATCAATGCGACTTTTCCCCTTACAGAAACCAGATTTTTAGAAACTCAGGGCTGTTTGGATTGAGCTTTACTGTGATTAATGTCTCTGTGGAAGTCTGTGGAAGTCAGGGGACAGATTGTGCTTGACTTGACAATTTGTTGTTTATTACAGCTGAAATATGCATTATTACTAACTATTTATCTATACATAAAACTATATCATCGTAAATATAGCCTAAGTAATTGAATGGTGCACAAAGCGGTCAAATTAACCTGTCCACCCATCCACCCATATGTCATGCAGGCTCTCAACCACAAAATATTATATATATATATATATATATATATATATGTATTATAGCTTATATTGTAATTATATATTGCATTAAATATAATTGTATTTAAATCACACATAAAGCTGTGTATATGGATGCTGTAGATGATTAATGGATGTTTATGTGTGTGTGTGTATATATATATATATATATATATATATATATATACTGTATATATATATATATATATATATATAGACACATTATTCCTTTAAAAGGAGTAGTTCACTTTAAAAAAAAAAAATAAATAAATTGCTGATAATTTACTCACCCCCATGTCATCCAGGATGTCCATGTTATTCTTTCTTCAGTCGAAAAGAAATTAGGGTTTTTGATGAAAACCTTCCAGGATTTTTCTCCATATAATGGACTTCAGTGGGAACCAAACGGTTCAAGGTCCAAAAGACAGTTTCAGTGCAAATCTTTGAACGAATATTTTTTCGTGTCATTTGGTTCATTCAACAAACGAAATGAACGAGTTAACTCTCTGACATTTTGATGAACGAGTTTGAACAGGAGAGTCACGAACATGCATCACAGAACAGAGCAATGCAACCATTTGAGCTTATAAAACTTAAACTTTGTTATTATTTTTTTTTAAATGAGCGATCGTTTCACTTAATGAACCTTATTCATCGTCTGGAATTGTTTAAAGCCCTTTGAACAGTTTGCAGTTTGTACTGAAAGTGTCTTTTGGACCTTGAACCGTTTGGTTCCCATTGAAGTCCATTATATGGGAAAAAATGCTAGAATGTTTTCATCAAAAACCTTAATCACTTTTCGACTGAAGAAAGAAAGACAAGGACATCTTGGATGATATGGGGGTGAGTATATAATCAGCAGAAGTTTTTCTAAAATTGAACTATTTCTTTAAACATAGACTGACGTTAGCTACAATTTTCTTATTTAATGCTAATAGAATGCCTAAATATACCACTAAATATATAAATTAATATAAATGTATTTCCCATTCATGACCTCTTATAATAAAAACAAATAAAATAATACTTAAAGCGAATAATAATAATAATAATCGAGGACACATCCGAGTAAGAAATGAGCTTTAGCATTTATTTTTCTAAAACAATTAAAACATGCTATCTGTAGTGATATGGAATCCAACATTCCTTGTAACTGTTGTACATAGATTGTTTTCATTATAACATTTTGAAAATGTTTTCCAGGGCTAGACCCAAGGTTGATCACATTTTACCATCATGTTCACTGAAATACCTGAGCGCATTAAAAATTTGATTGGTCAAAGTAACTTGTAATATTTAGTCTGCTATTCAAGCCTTTGCTTATTCTTAAACCAACAATCATCTCCAATCATCGTGTTAACCAATCACGTGGCAAGGGCCCAAAACAATTCTCTCGCTGCTATAGTAAACAATAATCTGCCCATTTCAATATTATTGTCAGTTAATACCCTGAGCTTCTTGTGTAGACTTAACCTAGTTCCTGGGTCTAAGGCCAGCCGAATACAGTTCCAGCTTCTGGCTCTTCTCAGTGGCTCTGGGAGAAAAATTGCTATTTTTTGTTTGGGAACACCAGTGGCTGGCTGTGGATTTGGCCAGAACACAGACAGGCCTGCTTTCCACGAGACACCGTACGCTGAAGTCGTTCTGTGTTGAACTAATCTGTTTGGGCAAAGCCTATAAATGCAGCACACATATTAGACTTAAACGATACCATCAGGGCACTTGTTTGAGACGAATCTGAATGCAATGCTGTACACTACTGTATATAAGGGGCTGTTATATTAGGGCATTCAACCGTAATGCATCTGCTTGGGTTCCACAGTTTATTTTGGGGTAATAATCTCAAGGCACAATAAGCTTTTTTTTTCTTTCTTTTTTTCGAAATGACTTCCTTCTAAAAAGCACATAGCGGTGTATGTGCTAGACCTGGACTTCAATCCTGTACAGCTTGTATTTAATCAAGTATCTCAAATAACAATTACACATACATTTCTGAAACAAACAAACATATCTTACATATCTACAGTCAGATGCGTAAATTGGTGCAATAATGTAACTAATACAACAGCGAGCATTCTTTGCGCTATATTACATATAGTATATCGTTACCGAATATGGAGGCTATATTTAGACATGTTTATATAAATATAGATATACATAGATTTATATGTACATGTATTCAAACACTGCATAAAGCATGAAATAAATAAATCAAAGCGATTGAATCTGAAGGAGGATACGATTTGCGAATAAGAGATACTGTATTAGAACTAAAGTAAAACTAAAGCACAGAGTTATACAAAATTAACAATCTGCAATATAATCTGAAGTATCAAAAAATCTGCACCACATTTACCCTTGCAAAATGTACAGTTTGGGAGTGCTGGAATGACTGTGAGGGTGAATGGGTTGAATTAGGAGGTCTGCTGAGTCTGTTAAGTTGGGGATTGGGGTGTCATGGTCAATTTAGGTGATCCTGCTATTTCACCTCCGAATGTCACTGATTTTAGAGTCTTCCTGCTCGGCAACGGCCGCATCTAAATTGGCGCGCCGTGGGCCTTGACTCCGACTTCTCGTGTGGGAACTGAACCCGACCTTGCCGGGTTTGTCCCGGTCTCCTTGTCGAGCGCCCTTGTGGTGCTCCCCCTCTGAATGAGAGGAAACCGCTGGACGTCGCTCAAGGACGCCTGGCGCTGGAGCGGCGGTGATAGACGAACAGAAGCTCAGGCTGTCGCACAGAGCGCCCCAGTTCTGCTCGCACTGCAGACGCACGCTCCGGGTAATGGCCTCCTTCACCTCCTCTCCACAGCTGAGCAAGATGTTCACCAGGTCAACGTACGGCCTAAGAAAGCAGGATGATAGCGGTCAGTCATGGTAAAAAAAAAAAAAAAAAGTGACTTGCCTCTACTTTAAAATAAGATGACGGAAAGGTCTCGAGTTTTTAACGCTGTTGTGTTCATTATAGGCCAGTGCTGGAAAAAAGGTGCAAGACACTGCAATGACAGGTCATGTCACCATTCTTTTTGGACAGGACAAACCGACTTTTCATGAGCATGTTTAACAGCTGCTCCTCGAGGCCCTCAGGACAAACTTTGTGCATTTACAGAACTTTATGCAAGTGTTTTTAAATGGAAAAGTACCTTAATTGCCTGGAGACAGAGCGCTAACCGAAAATAACACATTGAATTTGATGTTATAAAACAGCATTTATTTAAAGGAGTAGTTCACTTTTTTAAAAAAAACTTTTGCTGATAATTTACTCACCCCCATGTCATCCAAGATGTCCATGTCTTTCTTTCTTCAGTCGAAAAGAAATTAAGGTTTTTGATGAAAACATTCCAGCATTTCTCTTCATATAATGGACTTCAATGGGAACCAAACGGTTCAAGGTCCAAAAGACAGTTTCAGTGCAAACTGCCAACTGTTCAAAGGGCTTTAAACGATTCCAGGCGATAAATAAGGGTCTTATCAAGCGAAACGATCGCTCATTTAATAAATAAATAACAAAGTTTAAGTTTTATAAGCTCAAATGGTCACTTTGCTCTGTGATGCGTGTTCGTGACTCTCCTGTTCGAACTCGTTTATCAAAATGAACGAATTTTTTTCCGTGTTATTTGGTTCATTCAACGAACGAAATGAACTAATTGACTTGGAAAAAGATTCGTTTATTTTGATAAACGAGTTCAAACAGGAGTCACAAATGTGCATCACAGAACAGAGCAAGGCGACCATATGAGCTATAAAACTTTGTTATTTTTATTTTTTTTTAAATGAGCGATCGTTTCGCTTGATAAGACTCTTATTCATCGTCTGGAATCGTTTAAAGCCCTTTGAAAAGTTTGCAGTTTGCACTGAAACTTCTTTTGGACCTTGAACCGTTACCAGTAAAATCCATTATATGGAGAAAATCCTGGAATGTTTTCATCAAAAACCTTAATTTCTTTTCGACTGAAGAAAGACATGGACATCTTGGATGACATGGGGGTGAGTAAATTATCAGCAAAAGTTTTTTAAAAGTGAACTCCTTTAATAAACAAGCTCCCTCGATCTAATCACAATTACTTGGGATAAAAGATTAACTGTAACAATATAAACCATCACATTTTTGCCATCAAAATTTTAAAGGATGCTGGTAATCAACCAGTTTCGGTCCCTTTTCATACATACAGTCTTTACTGGTAAATTAGCACTAAATTACCATTAAGAGATCATGTGTGAACAGGACCTTTTCAAAAATACCGGTAAATCGGTTCAGCCAATTTACCAGTATGAGAAGGTGCAGCATTCCCAGTAAATTACACGTATGATCAAGAATGAAGATTACCGGTATGAGCGCAATAATCAGGTTTGAACGCGCTAAGCAGGTAAGAAACCTGCTTCGGGCCAATCATACATTTCTTATGAGGAAGAAGCAAGTTCTTGTCACTTTATGTAAATATGTGCTAGATGGACATCTTCGACCGCTGGGCCGCGTCCCGCAGCTTTTTAAACGTGTCGCGCCCGAGACCCAGCCTTCTTTTTCATTCATTCGACAACACACAGTTACTCCGTGTGAATCAAAACAGTTTGATTACCGACATTCTTTAAAATACTTTCTTTTGTGTTCCACAGTATATATGAATTATTGTACTATAAAACAAAAATGTATTTCTTATAATACAGAAAATATGTGCCAATTTTACTATATGATTCGAAGTAATTTTAAAATAATGCATGAGGATTACACTGTAAAAGACATTAACAAAATAGAATAAAATCGTTGATTGTGACCGAGTCGCAAACCTCAAACAACAATACCGAAGCACACAAACAGGAATGCATATAGTATGTTCAAAAGAGTAGGGAGATACGGAAAACTGATAAGCTGAGCGTGATACCTACCCTTTGGGAAATAGGTCTTGGAAATGTATCATCTCCACCATGACATTGACATTGTCTTTAGCAGCTGAGCAGAGGTTGTGTTTCACGTAGCATTCCCGTTGAAGCTGGAAGACCATCTCCTTTATGGCCAGGCATTTTCGACTGATGCAGCTGAACTTGTGCCTTAAACCGTGAGCCATGCACCTTAAAGCATCCTTGATGAAGGACTTGCCCTGTGAGCATTTAAGACAAAGTCTTATCAGATCTGAAGTCATAAACAGCATTTCTTTCTCTGTTCTAATAGGGCAAGTCTCTGTACAGACACACATCTTGAGAGCGTATTACAGGTTTGAAACCCTCTGCTTCAAATCCACCATCACCTTGTGAAACACGAGCCATATTAAAAGGCAGTGCCATCCAGGGTCATCGTCTGGATGCGTCTGAGGTAGAGGTCTTCACGGGTCCACTTGGATCTGAAAACCCGAGGTGCGACCCGAGACCTGAGCGGGGTTGGGTCCAAAACTTCGATGAGTGCCTCAGATATGGGTCGGGTTTGGTATTGGTGGTCTCTAATAGACCATTTCACAAGATGTAAACAACACTGGTCCAGAAGCACTTCCTGTTTCGGTTTGTAACTGTTTTCTTTATTTCACATGTAAAGAAAACATCTTAAAGATGTTTGTTTAACTTTTTGATTCAGTTTTAAATGTTCTGTTGGTTGTATTTTTTCCCAGCTTTTATGTAGTGTTAAAAAACTGTAACAGGAAGTGCTTCTGGACCAGTGTTGTTTACATCTTGTGAAATGGTCTATAAATTTAGAATAAATGTGTTTTTCCGAATGGAACCGAGAAGACTTGAATTCTTTTAAACTGTCTCGGTATTTAACAAAATTGTATTATTAAAAGGAACTGTGTGCAAGATTGTGGCCAAAACTGGTACTGCAATTACTTTTTAAAATTAGAGTGTATCCCCCCCTTCCCCCATGACTTGAGGTTGCCAGATATGCTGCAGGTTCCCACAGGAATGTAGGCTGCTACAAGGAGCTTCCAATGGCAAGTGACGAGTCCTACACAGTGAGTTTTTCTTTTTCTTTTAATTACTAATTTCAGACTTTAAAACAAAGTATTTCGAGTTTTTTGGGTTTAGTAACGTTAGAATTTTTTTATCCGATTTCGAACACGTTTGTATCTGCAGCTGTGGTAACTAGAGAAGAGCTGGCAACCCGAAAGCAGCAACACTTCTGACTCTGTGATTGGTAGATCGGTGGAGGGTGACGCATCAGAACAAAACACAACAGCAACATCAGTCAAGGGCTGCGACTTCACTTTTTATATGACAATATCCTAGTCGGACTACTGTTGTCACTGATAAGTATTTGAAATGAACATGATTTCTTAATGTCTGTGACATATCAGGGAACATTTATGATTAATTGCAGTCCCTCCAGGATTTCACGATTTTTTTGTGTGATTTTTGCGATCAAATTGACTGATTTTGTGGTGGTAATTTCCAAAAATTTGTGAAAAAATTTGCGATTTATATTTAACATTTACCATACTAGTATTCACAGTCCTTCCAGAAAAACGCGGAGTTTTTTTGTGATTGTTGCGGGCAAAAATTGATTGATTACGTGGCCCGTTTTCTTTAAAAATGCAATAGAATATGCGGGATATTTATGCAATTTTATGCGATGAAATTGCAGGAATTTTCAAAAATTGAGGGAACTTGCAAAAATTGTGGTTTGATGAAATAGAGAAAAAAAGTTATTCCCCCAACACCCTGTTCTCACTAGGCTAATGTAAGAGTCATTTCTTATTACTTCCTTTGATAAACAAGCATACTACATCATAGAAAGCGCTGGGAATATTTAATTTCTCATCTTGTTTTATTTCAGACTGTAACGAGTGTAAATAAGGTGTGGCCCCTTTAAGAGCTGCGCGCTCCCTGTTGAACTCTCTGTAGTGTTATATGTGCGCCTCAAACACCCCATGTGTGCGGGTAATTTTTGTTTGATGCTACTTCTTATATCTTATGTTGTTTATTAAGTAACGATGTGACGGTAGAACGTGTGACAGACAGTTATACGAGTTCGATTTGTGAGATGTCGATCGCCTCCGTGAGTCTGTCTGAGCTATCCCGTCGCGTAATTGCGTCACTTCATAATGTTCCCGTGGAAACAGGGGGAAATGGCTGCTCTTGTGTGAAGCAAACGCAACATTTTTCAACTTTCTGCTAAGATACATGATACATACACGAAAATGCGAGGATTATGAAATCATGCAAACCCCGCATATTTTGCACGGAAATCGGCAATTTATGCGGCGAAAGTGCGGCGTATTTGAAAAAATGCGGCCCCGCATAAATATGCGGACTTTGGCTGATTTTGCATTGAATTCAGCGATCGCATAATCGCGTTTTTCTAGAGGGACTGTAATTGAAATGAATTTCTTGCATACAACTCCTTTAAGGTCTCCCTGTAGTCAATAATTTTATCCCTTAAAACTCATCTTCGATCACCAAAATTACATATTTAACCGTTTTTTTCTGTAAAAAAATTCTTCATGCTTTAAAATAGCTTGAATGTATCTCTACACGCTTTAATATACAAGGGTCTATGAATATGCTAATTAGCCCTGCCTCCACTTCACGTCAGCTCACAGATTCACTCAGCCAACTTACTGAGGTAAACGCTGCACAATGGTATTGCTCTTTACAACGTCAGACACATAATGGTAATTTTGCTTGACTATGTTATTAAACGGGTAATAATGTTGCTAATGTTAAACAAACTATGTTCCCATTCGCCATCTCAGTCTGCCTTCTAAAAATCATCAGAAACGCTTTGAAGTTTGAACAACTCAAATTGTCAGTGGAGAAAGGCACATAGTTCATCATAACATCATAAAATACTGCATAAACCCGCTATATTGCTAAATCTACCAGATTTTTCATATCAACAAAAAAAAAAATATCTCGGGATATCCTGCCATCTCTCGAGACTCCCCTGCTAGTTAACTGTTATAGATATGCTAAAGCCCGCTGGCACGTTGACGTTATTGGATACAAGGTAGTTTGTGACGTCAGAAGTCGAAAACACATTTGAATGGATTGCTATCGTATTGTAAACGATTATATGGTCGAATGTGTGACTGACCTAACGAGTAAACATTACGGGAAGCGTGCAAGCCAGACGGGAATTATACTTTGTCAGCATACGTCGCCCATAGACCCTCCCCTCGAAGAAATCAGGACAGAAGAGGTTAAAAGTAGACAAAAGAGACGGGAATGTGTCTCCCTGGTCCGCTTGTGATCCGATCGACCAAAACGCATCTTAAAGCAGCACTTTGCAAGATTTCCGTTTTTGTCAAACGGTGACCCCTAGAGTCGCCGTGGAGTACTTTTACTGTCGTAAAAAGCACTCACACAGAGATGTCTCTGCACTCACGGGCTGATCCCCTCCCCCTGTATACCGGTACCTGTTCAGTAGGATAGAAGCCGTAACGAGTGGAAATAAGGTGTGGCCCCTTTAAGAGCTGCGCCCTGTTGAACTGTCGGCAGTCTGAATTGTATGCGCCTCAAACACCGCATGTATATGCTGCCAGGTTATTTCTGTTTGATGTTTATTTTAGCACATCTTCCTTGCCGTAAAGCAATTCGTTACATCGCGAGACCTGATATCACGCGACACTTCCTGATACTGCGGCCGGCGGCCCAAGGCTCAAAGTTGCAAGTGTGTTTTTTCCGTTCACAGGCAACAGGGGGGCAAGACGCCCACCATTCAACCTGAAAATAGTCATATTGCAATAACCATTGCAATAACTCTGAAGCTATTCAGTTAAAGGGTTAGTTCACCCAAAAATGAAAATTCTGTCAGTATTTACTCACCCTCATGTTGTTCCAACCCCGTAAGACCTTCGTTCATCTTCGGAACACAAATTAAGATATTTAAGATATTAAGATCGCTCCTGCATACAGTCCATAGGCTTCTTGAGGGACTGGCTCTTGCTGTCCTCGAAAAGTCATTAAAGACATCGTTAAAATAGTCCAAGTGACTACAGGGGCTCAATCTTAAGTTTATCAAACGACGAGAACATTTTTGTGCGCAAAAAAACAACAAAAATAACGACTTTATTTCAACTATTCGTTTATTTCTCCCTCTGCGCGAGTCAGGTTACTAGTTTAATAGCGTAAGCTTCTGTTATTGTACGTCACACGCATCACACACACATGACCAGCGTCGGCCAATAGTGAGCCTACGTGTGACGTAGCTCTACGCAATCACACTACGTTAACTGACTTACAGGCTCATGGAGAAGGAAGTGAATAGTTGAAATAAAGTCGTTATTTTTGTTGTTTTTTTGCGCACAAAAGTGTTCTCGTCGTTTGATAAACTTAAGATTGAGCCCCTGTAGTCACTTGGACTATTTTAACAATGTCTTTAATGACTTTTCGGGGACAGCAAGAGCCAGTCCCTCAAGAAGCCTATGGACTGTATGCAGGAGCGATCTTAATATCTTAAATATCTTAATTTGTGTTCCGAAGATGAACGAAGGTCTTACGGGGTTGAAACAACATGAGGGTGAGTAAATACTGACAGAATTTTCATTTTTGGGTGAACTAACCCTTTAAGGTAATAAAACTGCATAGTGCTGCTTAAATACCAGGTGTAAACAGGGCTTATGACAATGGTATTATCTCACTATTTCTAAGTTTTCTCTGAAGCCGCTCTTCTACGCGCAATGGACTCGAGGTTTTTCTTTAAAAAAAATGTATGCACGTTGGGTTTGGGTAAGAAGTGATTCGTGTCGGGTACAGATTTTAGGACCTGAGAAGACCTCTAGACTGAGGGGGCATGAACCCCCCCGAAGGGCATTACCTGCGAGTCGAACTTTCCAGCATTGTGCAGGAAGGTCATGCAGATTTCCTGGAGGCCCCGAATTTCACAGGAGTTGTTCTCGAAACATTCGAACACACCGCAGCCAACGTCTCCTGCGCTCACAAGACAGTGCTGGATCTCAGCTGTAGAGATTAGAAAGGGAGAGCATGTCATTAAGAGCTAAATAAAGAATTTATATAAATGAAAAGCAGATTAGAACTCTATTTTCTCGATTATCTCTACAACAGGTCTATATTTATGTAAGAAATAAAATTGCTTTAGAAATATCCTTGACAACCTTTTACCATCATGCACACACATGAGCGCTGAGGCCTATTTCGGGCTTTGTTTCTGCTGTGAAAATTGAAGGACTGTATTTAGGGGACAAATTTAGCAGAGAGAGCGCTGTGGTAATTAAGGTATGCTATTAAAGTCCATCAAACTGGGAGGCATCTTGCAGTAACTGCCTGAGATGTGGGAAAGCAAGGTTAACCGTATATAGGGCAGGACGAGATTGCTTTTACCTTGCTGAGGAGATTAAAAATGACTACTGAGTTTTTAGGAAATAGAGATGGAAATATGAAAATGAACAAGTCACACTCTCTCACCAATTCCAATTATATCTGCAACGCACATTTAAAGGGCAGCATTAAGTGTCTTTTGACTTTTAATCGGAACTGATAAAGGCAGTTCTGATTCACCAATAACTACTAATATTCAGGAAAGTGATTTTGCTAATCTGAGGCACAACACTTCACTTGCTGATTTAGAGAGTGAGAAATCTGTGAATGCTATCTATGTAGATCAATTGATGATAGATCAGATCAACTCACAAAAACAAACATTCAGTAGTATTTTCATGACTTTATGATCAGATCAGCAGTTTTTATACAATTATAGTTTGAGATGTGTCCGTTAGTCATGTCCTATTACAGAACAACAGTAAGAGAAAAGCTGCCTGTTTGTCCTGTATTAAACTATATTTATTAAACATTTTAGTTGTACAACAGCAACCAGATGGTAATACAAACATTTTGTAGGCTATATTGGGAATTTAAGTACTTTTATTTTATAATGAAGAAATTCTGTGCTGTAATACGCAACAAAATCATTTACTCTAATGCAAGGAAAATAGTTCATTCAACTTGTAAAACTAACTGAAACCCCATTGTGTCAGTATAAGCTAAAGGCAAAACAGTTCATGAAAAGTAAAAAAATAAAAATTGCATTATTTTAAAATGTATTTCTAAAAATCTCACAAAGGCCACTCATGCTTTGAGCAAAGCAACTTGGATGATAAAATTGAAATCCAGACTGATTATTTGTCTTTCTCTAACATCACATGATTTGTGCCAATTTGACTGACAAACATTGAGTGAAACATCACACTCTGATTTTGCTAGCTTGTGTTGGGAATGAAAATGGATCTTGCGCGTAATTAGACTAACCTACTCTGAATCAGTCAATCCTATGCGAAAGTTGTCAACATCTGATCCCTGATTTGACAGCCTTATTTCATAGTAACGTAGGTTATGGATGGGATGGGATTGAATCGCCCTGTTGCCGTGAGAAAGGTTAACTTAAGTGTGACCCACCTCTAATGCAACACGTAAAGCCATTGCATCACTCAGATCCACATTACAGGTTTAACTTGCTTGTCAGCGCAATGCAACACAAGTTGGGCACGTCTATAGGCTATTTGATGCTCTATATAGAGATCACTTTGAATCGCCACTTAATAATAACACAAGCAGAGGATGTCGCAGCCAAACACTAATCCACTGTGCGCTCGAAAATAAGACACACACGCCACGCGAACCTGACATGTCACCGAATATCTTTGCATACCTTGTGCCATGCTATTAATAGTTTACGAAGGTATTGGATTTCTCTACGTGTGCTATGGATTGACGATATCTCGTCTTCCTGCGTAATCGGAACACGTAGAGCAGCGAGTGATAAGATGTGCATTGGCCGGTTTCTGACCGCGCGCAGCTCGCACGTGCCCGCACACACAAGACTCACTTCGGGCTGGGATCACAGCTTCACAACACTTGCATTAATTCTCTTACCTGTATTTTGTAAAGAGAGGCGTCCCTTCTGACTGGCCGGTTTCTCGGGGTGACTCTCGTGAACATCAACATTATCCGTTCCCACCACTTCCCCCAAGACGGAGACAAGTAGCAAGGCTAGTGTACATTTGATCAACATTTCTACGCTCAGTTTTCTCGATGAATAACGACAGGCTGCCAGCCTGGGATCTGGTGTGGATACTGGTCGACGTGACAGAGCTACCGTGTGAGAGTGGAAACGGGATGGATGCTGGATATATTTCCTAGAGTCCGGGTGTCAATTTGGATGAAGGAGTTAAGCAGGTGTTGTCAGTCGTGCTTCCCGACCAATCAGAGACGCAGACCACCACGTCCAAGTTTTAGGGGTGTGTCTGGCGAAATTTGTCTCTACTTGCCATAAACTAAGCTTGTAAAATGTGTAAGAGTGGGTTGGTATTTACTCTACAAGTGCTCATGGGGCATCAGACTGTTGCACGGACAAGAGCCTGCGAGTCTTCAGAGAATGTTGCATTTACAATCCATAAATTTCTAATAAATCGAATAAAGTGTACAGTGTCTATGATAGGACAGGGTATAAAATGGTATTTCTATGCACACTAATACTATTCGTTAGCATGGAATAAATATGATGGCCTACAACTGAAATAAAAAAAGTGTTTATTGCTTTGGCTATAGATGATTGCAATTTAACATTTAAGCGTAAGAGTTTGTAGGCTATTTCGATTCTTTATAAATTATTTGGATAGAGTATCAGGTATTATAATAGAATAAATTAAGCCTGTTTCAAACTATTGCATATTATGTGTGTTAACATATTGTAACATAATACAGTGTGTTACAATAAATTCAAACTTTTGGAATAAGTAAACATTATACGACAATGTGCAGAAAATGCTCAGGTGATCTTAATATGCATCAAGGAGATGTATAAAGGAGTAAGATATCCGGATTCCCCAAACCCGGGACATTGACAGTGAATGACACATTCTGTTCTTATTGCTGGTATAATTGGTGACCCAGCAGATGAACATGAAAAAAAGGACATAATGATAATGTGACTTTTTACATTGCAGTTTTTGAAAACTCAGTCGACAGAGCTAATTATATAGTCACAATGTGCCAAATCCACACAGAGTCCAGAAAATGGGACAAATTTGCTAATGGATGGCAGGGATTGCATCATTCAAACCACCCCCTCTAGGCAGCTGCCATACTTAGACAAAGCAACACAAAAGGCATATAGACATGTGTGCATATCAGAGTCTGACACACACATAAACAGCATGTAGACACAATTGAATGAAGGCTTAGTAATTGAGCCTCGTTTTGTAATGATTGCAATGAAGTTCTTGTAGCAATGAATGTTTTCGCTAGCAATAAATCACCTTCTCTTCTCATTATAACATTTTGAGAATTAGCCTACACAGAACACATCAATCTTGATTTACTCTTTGGTGACTTTGGTTTTCGGCAATACTCTAATCGGATCCACAAGTCATGCAAATTTATTGCAAATGAGAAACATGCCTTAAATCAGATGCAGGCCATCCTCATGGATGTGGGACTACCGAGAAACTGTGAATATGGCAATTTTATGTCACTAATACTCATCTTTGAATTAGTTACGTATTCCAATAGTAGCCTATTTATTTAAATTTCACCATTAACTATTTATTAGATAGGCCTACCTACCATTGCAAGATGCTTTTTATGTCATGCTGGTTTCCTTTTTTTTCATATGTTATGTTATGTTGTGTTGAGATTGTTTATATAGCCTATATGTGATCAATAAGTTATGACATATTTTTACATTGCTTTAACTCATTAAAACAAGTTAAGCAACTTTAAACTTAAACTAATAAGTAATACAAGATTCAACAAATTTTTAGTCAGTTTGTAATTTAAGTTGAAATGACTTAAAGGTAAAGTTCACTTTGAAATAAATTTTGGTATGTTTTAGCTTACCTCAAGGGCATCCAAGATGTAGGTGTCTTTGTTTCCACAGCATTTTCAATTTTGACATTTTTTGGTCAAACTGTTCTTGTCTGTCAGTCATATAATGCACGTCTAGGGGGTCCACCTCAAAGAGCATGCACAGAGAAGTCCAAATTAAACATGATTTAATGACTTGTAAAAGTAAGTACACATTGATGGCCTAAGGCACGAAACGAGCGGTTTGTGTGAGAAATCGAAGAGTATTTAGTTTTTACCTCTTGTTAACAGCCGTATATATATATAAGCAACAATAAACCAGCAAATGATTATGAGACTTACTATTTCTCTCGTTACTTCACTTTTAATATAGCTATGATTAGAATGGGTGCCTTATAATATTAAAATTAAAGATCTCAGGCCAAAAAGTGCAATAATTACTAGTCCCTAATGACTATAAAGCATATCAAAGGAATTCATTTATGCAATAAATAAGTAATAACATAAAAAGTTTTAAGCATTACATGTTTCAATGGTTTGTCATAGCCTACTGAGAATTAAAACGGTTTCTTGTGCGGCCACCCTAAGGCGAAAAATAGATGAACAGCAATGAAGCTGTAGATAAATATTTGGTCAACATACTCTCGTGGTGAGGGGATAATAAAACATGGTTTGACTGTCGAAGTTTTTATAGCCTATTAAGCACTTCAAATACTGTTGGCAAGATTATAAACAACATAACGCCAGTAAATTAAAATCTGGTATTTCAGTTCTCTAAGCTTTGCTTTCCAGGAAAAATGAAAGAGCGAATTATTTTTTGGCTTCAAGAGGTGCCCATATACAACATGCCCTGTTTGGCATTTAGGAGAGACTCGGTGTGCTTTACCTGTTTGGTGCGGTGGTTTAGCTTGCCTACCAGTGGCGATTCCATATATAGGCCTACCTCCAGCTCAGCTTCCCCGATAATGTCAAAAAAATCAAATTTGTACTATTGTGGAAATATTTTATTGACTAAAATGCATTAGAACACGTTCATTTAGAAGGCGAGTTCGTTCAGAATCATAAAGCCTAGCCTACTTTTTTTTACAGACCATATAGCTTTACAGTAGACTAGCATAGCAGGTCGGCTGACTCAATTTCCTTCGCATTCCCGTAGCGTCGCAGTGCATTTTCTAGCCAATTTTCATCATACATTTCACTGTTTAACCTAATTCCCACATTTCCTCCGTCCGTCGATGTCAAGTGCCTTAATGTGCTAGCCTGACTTCGTCATACTCATATTCTTGTCGGAATATGAGTCTGATACTGCTCCATAGGGCTTTGATTATGAGGCGTGTCTTAACCGAACCAGGAAAAAAACCCTCTGCACTCAAATTGGATAGTTGGTAAACCTACAACCAATCAGAGAAACGCAGTAAGTCAACTACTTTGCATACAGTTGCCAACTACAGAACTTACTTATTTTAGAAGTTAAATAACGAGTGTTGCTTCTTTACTTACTTCTCCATGAGTGCCACCAAATGAGAAACCACAACGACCACAGGCTTTTCATTACGTCCCACCGTCAGAGCCAGCTGATAAGGTTACACTTTTGCAGAATCATGTAGAAAGGACGGCAAAAATATCTTTCCGATCGACAAATGCCTTGATTGCAGTTTTCTGTTCGTCTATTAAAATTAATGCGCTGTCGATTTATTTTACAACAGACGCGACACCGGAATCTATACATCTCAATTCTCCAGCTGCAGTCATCTTTGAGGGAAACCAGTTTAGCGCTCTTTGATAACGTGATGATTGCGTCCCTGAAGATCATCTGTCCATCATCGTTTAAAGCCTGCCCTGGCAATTTGATTGGCCCGAACGTTTTTTGCCTGATCATAATTACTCCTCAAACGGATCGAGTCCAGAACGAACTTCCCGACCAAAAAATGTTGTGGGGGCGGACTTCGGGCTGGCATTCAGGCTACTAATGTGCGGGCGTGGTGTTTCAACAGGTGCCATTCTGTTGAATCAACTAATTTCAGGGCAGAATAACCTTTCAATCAAGAGTAAGTAGAAGTCTTCAATCACTTTTTTTTTTATAAGTAGAGTCTTCAAACGTTTTTTGGCAGGCGCAATAGGCTAGTTCTCATGGTTATTATCGGCCCTTTACAGGTATTTTAATAGGTAAAATATACTGGGTGAGTGCTATTACCACAGACATAAACTGATGTTTCTTTGCACGTTATGTCTGTTTGATCCACTTAAACACAATTGTATTCGTAAAGAGAATGGGCGATAGCCTACATCAGGCAGTGCGCGCGCTCCCGCGGCCGGCCATGAATTTTCGGCGGACCATCACTTTTCGCCACGACAGATGTCCGTCTAGTTTGGTTTCGTTTTTTTTTGTCGGGATTCAGCCATTCATACTCCGCATTTGCTTTCTGTTGTGAACGCACAGCTTACGCTCGTTCTCATAAATAACTTCATGTCTTGTGTGAGCGTGCAGTTTCGTGTTCTCTCAGTCCACTTAGCACGCGGTTCGTGTTTACTTCGGCCTCGTGATTTCATGTCTTGTTCTGTGTAGCGTACAGCTGGTGTTTTACACCAGCTGTGTGTCATCATGTTCTTTGTGAACAAGTGGCTTATGTATTAAGGGCCAATCCCAATTCTACCCCTTACCCATTCACTTTCCCCTTCCCCTCCATTTTGCGCGTCCACGTGAAGGGGTAGGGTTGTCCCAATTCTATCAAGTATAAGTATTTGTGGCTTTAATAAGTATTGTAACGACAAATAATGATTTGCTTTATGTTACATTCAATATTGTGTTCATATTTACGGTCAGTTTCTTCACAGAAACGTTGTTTAAAAAAAAAAAAAAAAAAAAAAAAATCGCTAAAATTACTGTAGTTTGCTAACGATAGTCCGGCAACATATTTTCGTCGTCTCCGTTGTTTCCTGCGAACTTCACAAGATAAATGCAAGAAAATAGCTGTAACCCACGCGACTGAGATAACTGCAGCTGTCGACGGCATCTTGGAAGTTGTGATAAACATCAGCGCATCTCCTGTGACGTAGGCGCCAGCGACGACTTATAATGACGTTTAACGGAGGCGAAGTGGTGTCCCATTTCTTAGGGGAATATTTTCACCCCTACGCATTGCCACTCTGTTTCAAGGGTCAAGGGGAAGGCGAAGGGGTAGGGCTAGGAGAAAGTGAAGGGGTAAGGGGTAGAATTGGGATTGGCCCTAAGTGTGTTCTCATTGTTCTTCATGTCTCATTTTGTGTGAGTACAATTGCTTGTGATTTGTTTTACTGACCATAGGCTTGTTTTTTTGTCATGTCTGATTATCAATTTGCCCCACCTGTCCTTCCCCGTTACCTGCCTTGTTTTCTACCTATTTATTCTTGTTTATGCAGTCCTTTTGTTTGTATTTTGTTTTATTATTAAAATAAAGCCCTTCAAATCTGCACCTGAGTCTTAGCTCCTTTCACCATCCCCACATCAGACAGTCAAGTTTTTCATAAATTGAGCTTCCCCTCTTTGAAAGAGCAGCAGCCGCCACTGCCTCCCTCGTAGCATGGACTGAATTAGGGATTCGGGGTCTGTAAGAAAGCCAGCGCATGATGCGCGCACACCCTCGGTATCCACCAATCAGCGCTTGCACTCAGACCGCAACCCCGTAATGACGCGTGTCACCACAGACGACTGGACCGCCGAAAAGGTTTACCCGTATA